ATGAGGCCCTTATCAGAGAGACTGGTTGTAAAAATTCTTTCCCAGTTTTCTACTTTCTTTCTAATCTTAGTTGCATTGGCTTTGTTTGTGCAAAACCTTTTCAATTTAATGTAATCAAAATTATCTATTTTGCTTTTTGTAATGTTCTCTATCTCCTGTTTGGTCATGAATTCTTCTCTTCTCCATAGATCTGACAGGTAAACTATTCCTTGCTCTCTAAGTTTGCTTATAGTATCAGCCTTTATATCTAAATCATGTACCCATTTTGACTTTATTTTGGTATATGGTGTGAGATTTCGGTCTATGCCTAGTTTCTGCCATACTCTTTTCCAGTTTTCTCAGCAGTTTTTTTCAAAGAGTGGGTTCTTATCCCAGAAGCTGGGGTCTTTGGGTTTATCAAATAATATATTACTATAGTCATTGACTACTGTGTCTTGAATACTTAACCTATTCCACTGATCCACCACTCTATTTCCTAGCCAGTACCAAGCAGTTTTGAAGATTGCTACTCTATAATACAATTTAAGATCTGGAATGGCTAGGCCACCTTCCCCTGCATTTCTTTTCATTAGTTCTCTTGATATTCTGGACCTTTTGTTCTTCCAAATGAATCTTGTTATTATTTTTTCTAACTCTAGAAAATAATTTTTGGTAGTTTGATTGGTATGGCACTGAATAAGTAAATTAGCTTAGGTAGAATTGCCATTTTTATTATATTAGCTCGGCCTACCCATGAGCAATTGATGCTTTTCCATTTATTTAGATCTGATTTTATTTGCTTGAAAAGTGTTTTGTAATTGTGTTCATAGAGTTCCTGGATTTCTTTTGGGAGGTAGACTCCTAAATATTTTATAATGTTTACAGTAAATTTAAATGCCGATGATTTATGTGGGTTTATTTTATAGCCTGCAACTTTGCTAAAGTTGTTTATTATTTCAAGTAGTTTTTTACTTGATTCTCTGGGATTCTCTAAGTATAACATCATGTCATCTTCAAAGAGTGATAGCTTTGTTTCTTCTTTGCCTATTCTAATGCCTTCAATGTCTTTTTCTTCTCTTATTGCTAAAGTTAACATTTCCAGTACAATGTTGAATAACAGTGGTGATAATGGACATCCTTGTTTCACCCCAGATCTTATTGGAAATGCTTCTAGCTTGTCCCCATTACATATTATGCTTGCTGAAGGTTATAGATAGGTGCTATTTATTATTTTAAGGAAGACTCCATTTATACCTATGCTCTCTAGTGTTTTCAAAAGCTTTTTCTGCATCTATTGAGATGATCATGTGGTTTCTGTTAGTTTTGGTATTGATATGATGGATTATGCTGATAGTTTTCCTTATATTGAACCAGCCCTGCATTCCTGGTATAAATCCTACCTGGTCATAGTGTATCATTCATGTGATAAGTTGCTGTAATCTATTTGCTAATATTTTGTTTAAAATTTTTGCATCTATATTCATTACGGAAATTGATCTATAATTTTCTTTCTCTGTTTTGACTCTTCCTGGTTTAGGTATCAGCACCATATTTGTATCATAAAAAGAATTTGGTAAGATTTCTTCTTTACCTATTTTTACCAAATACTCTATATAGTATTGGAATTAATTGTTCTTTAAATGTTGGATAGAATTCACATGTAAATCCAGGTTCTAGGACTTTAGGGCAGTTTTCCTCTATGATTTCCTGAAGGATATTGTCCAGGCTCTTTTTTTCATCATGATTTTCAGGTAGGCCTATAATTTTTCATTTGTCTCTCCCGGATCAATTTTCCAGGTCAGCTGTTTTACCCATGAGGTATTTTACGTTTTCATTTATTTTTTCATTTTTTTGTTTCTGTTTGACTGATTCTTGCTCTCTCATAGTCATTAGTTTCCATTTGTTCAATTCTAATTTTTAACATATTGTTTTCTTCTGTTAGATTTTGTACTTTCTTCTCCAATTGGTCAATTATATTTTTAAGGGATTTATTTTCTTCAGTGTACTTTTTTTCTAGTTGGCCAATTGTATTTTTAAGGGATTTGTTTTCTTTAGTGTACTTTTTTTCCATTTGGCCAATTGTGTGTTTTAGGGACTTGTTTTCTTCAGTGTACTTTTTTCCAATTGGCCAATTGTACTTTTAAAGGACTCCTCTACCTCTCTCTTTTGACTTTTAAAATCCTTCTTGAGTTCTTCTAAGAAGGCTTTTTGGGCTTCAGACCAGTTCATATTCCCTTTTGATGTTACAGGTGTGGGTTTGATGACAGTATTGTCCTCTTCAGAATTTGTCTTGATCTTCACTCTTCTCATAACATGAATCTAACATATGTTTCTTTTTACTCATGGTGTTTCTTTGTTCCCTGGCCTTTAAAGAGATTAGGCTCTTCTGCTGGGGAGCAGAGGGCACTGACCCAAGCTTCTTGTGTTTGGAGCCTAGGTCTTGGTCACTGGCTTTGGGAGCTGGGGCCTCTTATGTTGGCAATTGGAGGTTGTAGGGTTCTGGCAGCTTATCTGGTGTTGGGCTCGAATCAGCAAGGCTGGGACTTTCAGGCAAATCTAGGTTGCTTGCTTTTCCTTTCCTTTAGCTTTGTTTAGCTCCTTTTAGATAAGTACTGCCAGGTGTTTATCTGACTGGGGCCCCTTGCAGTGCTGCCTCCCTTATTTCTGTTGAGGCACTGGGAGATTTCTGTGCTGTAGAATGCCAAGGCACCTGGTGGTTTTCTGAGCTGGTTTCCACCAGTTACCCCACCCTCACTGAGGCACTCGGAGGTACAGCTGTTGGTGTTTGCCTGCTCGACCACCTGGGCTTCAGGATCTCCTCCTGGTTGGCAGTTGGAGGCTGTAGGGTTCTGACAGCTTACCTGGTGTTTGGCTGGAATCAACAAGGCTGAAACTTTTGGGCAACTCTAGGTTGCTTTCTTCAGCTCCTTTCAGATGAATGCTGCCGGGTGCTTATCCACCTGGGGCCCTTTGTAGTGCTGCTTCCCTTATTTTTGCTGAGGCACTGGGAGACCCATTTGCTGTAGAATACCAAGGCACCAGAATCTCTTCCTGGTGTGCTAAAGTGGGTCTTTCCACTAGCTGGCTGGGTGACTCCTGTTTCATACTGCTCCCCTTCCCCCAGGGTAAGAGGGGTCTTTCCCTTTAATCCCTCTAGCTACCTGGGCTACTGCACTGCTGGACCCCATCTTTCTTCTGGTTCAGTTGTTCCAGAGTTTTTTCTGGGGTGATATATTCTGGGTTTTCAGAGATTGATAAGGGAGGGTGAGAGCGATTACCTTTTTACTCCACCATCTTGGCTTCCAGAAGTGGAAGTCTCACCATAAGGCTGATTTTCCAAGATAAATATGATTAACCATTGTGTTTCTGTTGTATGTGTTGCATTACTCAAATGCATCATAGAATAGACAATGGGAAAATATCTGGGGATAGAAGTGGGGGACAGAAAGGAGGAGAAGGTAAAGAGGAAGATTTCATAACTGTTATATATTAACCAGGGCAATTTCTTCTAGTATTGTTTTGAGCTGAATAAAAGAAAATTGATTCATTTTTTGTTCATTTCCAGAGCAAGGAGAAAAAACAAATGGTGAGCTAAGCTCCTTCTAGACAATCAATCAGTTATGTTGTTGTTTTTAGGGGGGACAAAAAGGGGAAAGATTGTAACTGAGACTGCAATAGAAAGCATCACCATACTCATTTTTGTCTTCCTATTATTCTCTCATGGCACTCTGAAATAATAGCAAATCCTCCCAAATTGATACTAGTAACAGGAGGAGCACCTACCTGTATCCATGGAAAATACAAATTGTTTTCAGATCCTTTTCCTTGAAAGGCAATGAGACCTATAGAGATCTGTGAAAAGGACAATTAACAAGCTCTGAGGGAGAACCCTCACATGGATGAAAGAGAAGACATTTCAAGTAGTATTCCAGGTCAAGCTTGAGTTCTGCAGATAACCAAATTCTAGGGCTAGGACAGTCAAAAATGCTTTTAGAACAATGGTCCAAAGGTGGAGGTAAACATAGACTAAGTAGGTAAGTGAAACACACAACAAGGGAGGAATAGGTAGTGTCAAACTGAGGCTTCATCTTAAAGAATTTCTCTGAGACATTCTCATGGCAGTGGGATGCTCTACCCAGCCCCAATCTTCAGTATACTGTGGAGCATGAGATGTTGCTATTTTATTTACATTTACGGGATACATGTTATATAACTCCAGCATCAGAGTCACCTCCTCTCTTTCTGGCAGGCTTTTCTATCACCATTTTCTGTGACTGCACTATCAACTTTCCTCTTTGCCTTCCTTTAGATGTTTTTGTTTTGTTCTGTTTTGTTTTTGGTATTCCATCTTGGATTACCTTGTGTGCTGCCTTGTGTGAAGCCTTCTCTAATAAGCTAAAATGTAGGTAGAGCTGTTCCCTCTCTCCCTCTTGAGCTTCTTTCTTAGTGGAGGGATCAGCCTGTATTTATAGCGCATGTAATTGATGTGTGCCAATAGCAAACACAAAATTGAAGAAAAAAGCATCTGAAAGTAAGCTCCTCATCTTAAAATAAATAAAAATCCCAATTGGTTTAGCAGTTAGATACCAATAATTCGTAAATCTATCTTACTTAATATCATTAAATAGAAAACACAGTACAACTTTCATAGATAACTAAAGGATTACAGTCAATTTACTGGTTTCAAGACAGCTAACAATCTGGGGGTCAGTGTTACAAATATAAAGAAATAATTTTAGTTTATATTATTAAATTATATTATAAATAATAAATTATAACTTAATTTATAAATATAGTTTTTAATAACTAATTACACAAATATATTTACATATATATACACACAGTATATATTAAAACTTATGAAGCATATTTTCTAATACATTATATTTTTTTCACATTTATATATTTAATGGAAAACCACTAAATACTATGTAAACATAGTTCATTTCATAAATGAATATTATTTCTTCCTTTAAATCATATAATTTTTCTGGATCATGATTCATCTTTGGCATTCTTGCAGATTCATTTGGAGATCCTATTGGAGAAGTCCTTCAAGATCTAGATTCAAGTTCAGATGTAGCTGGGGGAAAAAAGAAGAAGCAGAAAACAATTTACCTTATATATTTATATTCACACACACATACGCATATATATATATATGTATGTGTGTAATTTTTTTTTCTCTTGGGACTCATGATTCATCATGCTAAGGAATTCTGTATGTGAGAAGCATAAAAGCGGTCACTGGTCCAACTTAGTCTTAAGAGTTTCCTAAGCACTTTGAAGGCAAGTGACTTACCCATGGTATCATGGGCAGTATGTATCATAGGGAGGACTTGAACTCAAGTTTTTCTGGAAGTAACCTATCACAGAGGGTTCTTTTGAAGATCAAATCAGATAATGTATGCAAAATGCTTTGCAAAATTTAAAGTACTATATAGTCACTATTCAGTATAGACTATATAAATAGTCACTATTACTACACCTAGTATGCATGTTGATTTTGGAGCAACTCATCATATAATATTTTCTTTTTCATCATCTGCAGTAGACATCGGTATATAATCTGCTACTATAATTATGTTCATAGTGTTCTCTGTGCTTATGCTTATGTTGAGCTCTATTTCCTATTTAATTATGTATAATATTGCCATTGGGCTCACAATGAAACCAACCATGCCAATTATTTTATTTGCCTATTTGGGGAAAATGTGAACCATATTTCCATTTAACTGCAACTTCTTTCTGTTTTCTGGTTAAATTGACAGCAATGGTGTCAATATGAATATTATTTTGTTCTTTCAGTACCGTTGGTCACTGGACAAAGACTGTAAATTAATATTCTAATAGTTAAACTGATATTTGTAGATGGTTTTTAAATTGTGAGATTCTTAGTATCCTTTGTCCCCTTTCCCATCACTCTTCTGAAATCACTGTGGAATCACAGAATTAAACAGAACAATAGCATCACAAACTTGGATAGGACTTCAATGGCTCTCTAGTCCAAACGATCTTCTTGAACAGCAATCTTATTGATTGCATCCCTCCAGAAGTGGTTGACTAGCATCATATCTGAAGATCAGAATGGAGGACAATTATACTTCTGTTTCATGGGATGCTGTGGCCAAAGACCTCATTACCTACTGACCAGCCTTCTGGGTCTAATCCTCTCTGTAAGTGGACAGACATGTTCTGGAAACAGATACAGTCTATCTCTGGGCTTATGCTATCGTTCTGGCTTATTAGAAAGAATCTGCTAGCTCTTGCACTTCACTGGCATAGAAGAATCCAAGGTTACTTCAAAGTGATGAAGAAGAGGGAGGTGGCACTGAAACAACAGCTTTGTGGGAGTTTTTCAGCATAATTAAAAATCAGGAATAGCTTCAAATTCTTACATTTACTTATGAACAATTTGGACATACCTTCATCAAGTTCCCTAGCTATGCCTTCTACCAAGTCCTGCTGCATCTGAAATAACATTAAAATACTGTTCAGAGCAATGAAGTAAATGAGGAAGAAGGAACTTGAGATAATACACAGAACTCAATAATTTTTTTAAATTTACAGACATCGAAAGAAATTACTAATAAACTTAGACACTGGTTTAGTTTGACTTTAGTCATCCAATAGAAAATCTATGGGTCTAAAAAATAATAATATTATGAACAAAATCAAGAGCTTATCACAATTAATTATTTATAAAAAGATGCGAACTTTGTTAGCATAGTAGTCATGTCGCAGATTTTCAAAATAGTTTTCTTCTACTCTAAGCAAATCTTACCCTTTTTATTTTCATTTTTATCAACATAACCTTTTTCTTTAAAAATAAAAACAATTTTATATGCTATACTTTAAAAGAATTAATTTCAATTAATTAAGTGACAGCCTAAACACAAAATGAACATCAACTGACACTGAGCAAAACAGAAAATGCCTGATAATTATTAAATACAATAGGAATACAATAAAAAAATTCCAAAGATGGATATTAAATGAAAACAGCTCCTTCACTTTCTGTTCTAATTGAAATATTTCTTAATCCAGACATAAACAGATTTCATTTGATTTTCTAAATTCATGCTTTGTGGTTTTGTAGGTTGTAGCAACAAAGCTAAGAGAAATCCTGCTTTCTACACTAACTTGTAAAGAAAGAAAAAAGAAGGCAAGAGACTGGTGCCAACTTCATAGAAGTGGGAAGAGAAGATGAAATGGGAGAGCACTCTTGATAAAGATTAAAGTTGTACAGTTTCCTTTTCAGAAGACAGATGAAATAGGATAGTATGGATATGAGGCAAATGTTGCAACGTAAATATTTAAAACATGTGGGGAAAGCATCACCAAAACATGGTATCCTTATATGTAATGTTCTCATTTACATTTACACTTTCATTTACACTCAGGAAAAAATATTTCTCTCCAAATAGTAAATGCACAAAAGTTTGGATCTCTTCCCCAGGTTCTGAGTTAGACCTTTCTTAAACCTTTCTTCGATAGCATAATTACTAGAAGAGGCCTTAGGTGATGATATACTTGACACTGGGCAAAACCTTTAGCTAAAATATTTTAAGTGTCATGCTAATAAAGATACACTATGAAAAGAAAATAAAGTTGATATATATATATATATATATTAAGGGAAGACAAATACTTAATTTAAAAAATGCATTTACAAAAAGCTCTTTTCATATGTTTAACATATCTGTAAAATATATCTCTGTGCTTCTATCTATATGAAATATATAGACATACATATACATGTACTTTATGTAGAGGATGTGATCAGGACTAGCCTAGTTAATATGACATGATTAAAAGACAAGGATTTTGTTCTGGATTTCAAGATATCTCTAATGTGTATAGAGTTAACTTGCCCAATGAAAATATGTTTAGCATTTTGGTCCCATCTTCTTGGTAGGATATGGTATTTGTTTTAGGTGCACAACGATACCATACTGAAGAATCCCAATATCTTTGCTCCCTTTTTTAAAGTTAATTTATTTTTAGTTTTCAACATTCACTTCCACAAGACTTTGAATTCCAAATTTTCTCCCCATCTTGTCCCTCCCCCCACCCCAAGATGGCATGCATTCTGAATACCCCTTCCCCTAATCTGCCCTCCCTTCTATCTCTCCCCCCTTCTCTTATTCCCTTCCCCTTCAATTTCCCTGTAGGGCAGGACAGATTTCTGTACCCCATTTCCTGCATATCTTATTTCCCAGTTGCATGTGAAAATGATATTTTTAATATTTGTTTTTAAAACTTCAGGTTCCAAATTTTCTCCCTTCCTCCCTTCCCACCCACCGTAATTGAGAAGGCAAGAAACTCAATACGGGTTATACATCTGTAGTCATGCAAAACACTTCCATAATAGTCATGTTGTGAAAAACTAACTCTTTTTCCCTTAATCCTATCTTGCCCTCCATTTATTCTATTCTCTCTTTTGACCTTGTCTCTTCTAAGAAGTGTTTGTTTCTGATTACCTCCTCCCTCAATCTGCCCTCCAATCTATCATCCCCCTGCTCTCTTGTCCCCTTATCACCCTATTTTCCTGTAGGGTAAGAGATATTTCCATACCCAATTGGGTGTGGATGTTATTTCCCTCCTTAAGCCAAATCCAATGAGAATAAGATTCACTCATTCCCTCTCACCTTCCCCCATTTCTCCTCCATTGTAAAAGTCTGTTTTATGTGAGATAATTTACCCCATTCTAGAATCTTCTCCCTTTCTCCTACTCCCAGTATAATCCTCATCCCTTAATTTTATTCTACAGGTATTACCTCTTCATCTTCAACTCACCCTGTGCCCTCTATTTATCTATCTGTCTATATACATACATATAATTTTTCGCTCCAGCTAGTCCAATACTGACAAAGGTCTCATGAGTTACAAATATAATCTTTCCATGCAAGAATGTAAACAATTCAAGCTTAATAAGTCTCTTAGGATTTCTCTTTCCTGTTTATCTCTTCATGTTTTGCTTGAGTGTTGCGTTTGAAAGTCAAATTTCTATTCAGCTCTTGTCTTTTCATCAAGAATCCTTAAAAGTCCTCTATTTCACTGAATGTCCATTTTATCCCCTGAATGATTATACTCAGTTTTGCTGGGTAGATGATTCTTGACTGTAATCCTATCTTCTTTGCCCTCTGGAATATTATATTCCAAGCCCTCTGGTCCCTTAATGTAGAAGCTGGTAAATTTCATGTTATCCTGATTGTGTTTCCACAGTACTTGAATTGTTTCTTTCTGGCTGCTTGCTATATTTTCTCCTTGACCTGGGAACTCTGGAATTTGGCTACAATATTCCTAGGTGTTTTTCTTTGGGGATTTCTTTCAAGAGGTGATCAGTGGATTCTTTCCATTTCTATATTTAGATCTTCTTTGTCACCATGGTCTGACTTTTTTGTGAGGCTTACTCATGATCTCAGCCAATTACTTGAGTTTTAAATTCCTTGTTAAGGTAGGGGTCTGCTTCCAGTGCGGAGAATGTACTGTCCCAAGCTTCAGAGATTTTGTGCAGCTGTTTTCAGAGATACTTCTAGGGACCTGTAAATTTTCACTTCTTCTAAAGTGGTATGATTAAGGGTGAGGTGTTTACTCCCTTCCTGGGCTGTGCTCTGGTCTATGAGTGACCTCAACCACTGTTTTCTGCCTTGGAATTGTGAGGAGGATTTCCTCTCTACCACCACTACATGCTCCACCACACCAGCACTCCTCCTCAGCCCAGGACCACCACCCAGACCTGTGACCCAGATCCAAGCAGGGCAAAGCAAGAGAATCCTGCACAAAGAGATCCCTGCAATACCCCTCTGATCAACCACTCAATTTCCTCTCAGTCTGTGAGCCAGAAGCTCTGAGAACAGCCATAGCCCCAGGGCCACAAGAATCAGGAGGGGTTCAAATGCAATCTCTGACACATGCTTGTTGGGTATATCTAGATAAGTGACACAAAACACTCTTTTCCATGGTCAACTACCTAACTACAGGTTACAAAGTGGCTGGTAATCTGTACTAGTAGAGGAAGTTCTTAACTAGGAGCTCCCTGCATGGATGAAATCATAGGCCAGAAATAAATATCAGAAATAAAATAAACACTAAGATGGATACATAAATTTTTTTTTAAAAAATGAATGCAGACAGCATGTGATATTGCAGAGCACTTGAATACAAATTCATTTTCATTCATTCAAGTATCTAGTTCAACTATAAAATTTGAACCGGGCATCCGCTAGTAGAAAACATTGTGTCCTGTGCCCCAAACAACGCAAATGAAAGGGAGAAATAGTCCTTAACTCCAAGGAGTTCACAATGTAATTTGAAGGGTACTGATTCCTGAAATTCTACACTTAATGCTAACAGTGAATAGAAGGGTTTGAAATTCCATGTTAGAAATAAGGTTTCATTATCTTTTGGGAGAACCATCATTGAAGTATTTGTGTACAATAATGAGCAATATGTTTTCATTAATTTTTTACATTTCTTAAGATTGCAGTGTGATGGATGCCATGTGCTAAGGATGCATTTAAATGTGAGATGGTGGAGAGATGCAGGTGATTTATCCAAATGTAACAAAATGAAGTGTGCTCTGCTCTAACCATTTCTACAGCACATACTTGATTTAATATACTCAGTTTTCTTTTAAAATGCATTAATATGGAGTGATACCTTTTTTTAAAAAAATTGGATATTAGACCAAAGTGGTCCAGTCCACAAATAGAGAGGCAATAAAAACATTGAGCCATGTTGACTACACACCTTTGCATGGATATGGCTGTACAGAAGAAAAGGGAGAAACAGATGGTCAAGGAGCTGAAGAAGTAAGAACACATTTATAGATCTCACACCAAAAAGATTCATTGAAACAAAAGAAAAGGAGTGAAGGTGAGCTGATTCCCAAAGGGAAAGTGTGAATAAATGCCTATATATAAATGAAGTGGTCAAGTCAGAATCAATAAGGAGACTTTCACATGGAATACTTCTCTCAAAATTGCAGAACGATGTTTTTAAAATGAACATTTTAGAGGGGCGGAGCCAAGATGGCGGAGGGAAAGCAGTGACTTGCTTGAGCTCTCCCCCAAATCCCTCCAAATACCTATAAAAAATGGCTCTAAACAAATTCTAAAGCAGCAGAACCCACAAAAAGACAGAGTGAAACAAATTTCCAGCCCAAGATAACCTGGGTGGTTGACTGGAAACGTATATCGCTCCAGGCAGGGAAAGGAGCACAGTTTGGCGCAGACTGCTGCAAACCTGGAGCAGGCCTCAGAGGACTGAATCATGGACAGCTGTGGCGGTTTCCAGACCTCTCAAACCAGGGATGACAAAGACAACTTAGAAGGTCAGTGGGAAAAGTCTGTGACTGCGGTGAGAGAGGAGCTAGATCTCACCGGCAAGTCTCCAGTGCGGCCTGGGGCCACGGCTATTTCCTGAGCTTCTGGCCCACAGTCTGAGGGGAAATCAAGTGGCTAATCAGAGGGGGAATGCAGGGATCTCTCTGCCAGTGCTGAGGCAGGAATCTCTTGCTTTACCAGTGCTTGGATCTGGGTCACAGTTCTGAGGGGTGGTCCTGGGGAGAGGAGAAGTACTGGTGTAAGGGAGCTTGTTGTGGCTGTGGAGAGAAAACACCTCACCCCCTATCATACCACCTTGGAAGAACTTAAAATTTACAGGTCCCTAGAAGTATCTCTGAAAACAGCTGTACAAACCCCTGAAGCTTGGGACAATACATTCTCCACATTGGAAGCAGACTCTTCCCTTAACAAAGAGTTTAAAACTCAACTAATTGGCCAGGATCATGACCAAGTAGTGCAAAAAGAGTCAGACTGTATTATCTTACTTTGGTGACAAAGAAGATCAAAACATACAACCAGAAGAAGACAACAAAGCCAAAGCTCCTACATCCAAAGCCTCCAAGGAAAATATGAATCAGTTCCAGGCCTTGGAAGAGCTCAAAAGGGATTCTGAGAAGCAAGTAAGAGAAGTAGAGGAAAAACAGAATGATGCAAGAAAATCATGAAAAACAAGTCAACAACTTGATAAAGAAGACCCCAAAAAATACTGAAGAAAATAACACCTTAAAAAATTGCCTAACCCAAATGGCAAAAGAGGTCCAAAAAGCCAATGAGGAGAAGAATGCCCTAAAAAGCAAAATTGGCCAAATGGAAAAGGAAGTTCGAAAAATTACCAAGAAAATACTTCCTTAAAAATTAGAATAGAGCAATTGGAAGCATGACTTTATGAGAAATCAAGACATTGTAAAACAAATCCAAAAGAACAAAAAATTAGAAAACAATGTGAAATATCTGATTGGAAAAACAACTGACCTGGAAAATAGATGCAGGAGAGAGAATTTAAAAATTATTGGACTATGTGAAAGCCATGATCAAAAAAAGAGCCTAGACATCACCTTTCAAGAAATGATCAAGGAAAACTGCCCTGATATTTTAGAACTAGAGGACAAAATAGAAATTGAAAGAATCCACTGATCTCCTCCTGAAAGAGATCCCCAAAGGAAAACTTCTAGGAATATTGTAGCCAAATTCCAGAGTTCCCAGGTCAAGGAGAAAATATTATAAGCAGCCAGAAAGAAACAATTCAAGTTTTGTGGAAACACAATCAGGATAACACAAGATTTAGCAGTTTCTACATTAAGGGACCTCAGGGCATGGAACATAATATTCTGGAGGGCAAAGGAGATAGGATTACAACCAAGAATTACCTACCCAGCAAAACTGAGTATAATCCTTCAGGGGAAAAAAAGGTCATTTAGTGAAACAGAGGACTTTCAAGCATTCTTGATGAAAAGACCAGAGCTGAATAGAAAATTTGACTTTCCAATACAAGACTCAAGTGGAACATGAAGAGGTAAACACGAAAGAGAAATCCTAAGAGACTTATTAAGGTTGAACTGTTTACATTCCTGCATGGAAAGATGATATTTGTAACTCATGAGACCTTTGTCAGTATTAGGGTAGTTGGAGGGGAAAAAATATATGTATGTATGTATATATACATATATATATATATGTGTATATATACACACATAATAAGTGTATAGATAGATAGATAGATAGATAGATAGATAGATAGATAGATAGATAGATAGATAGATAGAGGACACAGGGTGAGTTGAAGATGAAGGGGTCATATCTGGAGAATAAAATTAAGGGATGAGACAGGATTATACTAGAGAAGAAGAAAGGGAGAGGTAGAACGGGGTAAATTATCTCACACACAAAAAAAAACAAAAAACAAAAGAAAAGGCTCTTACAGTGGAGGGGAAATGGGGTAAGGTGAGAGGGAACCAATGAATCTTATTCTCATAGGATTTGACTTAAGGAGGTAATAACATACACACTCAATTGGGTATGCAAATCTGTCTTACCCTACAGGAAAATGGGGGAGGGGAAGGGGACAAGACAGTAGGGGGATGATAGAAAGGAGGGCAGATTGGGAAAGGGGGTAATCAGAAGCAAATACTTCTGAGGAGGGACAGGGTCAAAAGAAAGAATAGAATAGATGAGGGGGGCGGGATAGGATTAAGGGAAATAGAGTTAGTTTTTCACAGCATGTCTACTATGGAAGTGTTTTGCATAACTGCACATATATAGCCTATATTGAGTTGCTTTCCTTTTCAATGAGGGTCGGTAGGGAGGGAGGAAGGGAGAAAATTTGGAACCCAGAGTTTTAAAAACACATGTTTAAAAAAAATGTTTTCACATGCAACTGAGAAATAAGAAATATAGGAAATGGCATACAGAAATCTATCCTGCCCTACAGGGAAATAGAAGGGGAAGGGGATAAGAGAAGTGGGGGAGAGATAGAAGGGAAGGCAGAGTAGGGGATGGGGTATTCAGAATGCATGCCATCTTGGGGTGGGGGGAGGGGTGAGATGGGGTGAAAATTTGGAACTCAAAACCTTGTGGAAGTAAATATTGAAAACTAAAAATAAATAAATTTATTAAAAAAACTAAAATGAACATTTTAATTAAATGCTTCATAGGGAAGACAAATTTATTTATCTATCAATATCACCCAGATGCTTAGAAGATATAGACCCATAAAGCTTAATCCTTTAATCTTTATCAATTGATTGATTAATTCATTCAATATATACATTTTTGAGGGCACTTTAGCAGTGTCTTTAAAAAATCCAAAATTTGCTGAACCTAATGTTGACAGCATTACATTTATTGTGTCAGTGCTGGGAAGTGCTTAGAAATGGGCATATTTTAAATAAAGATGCAACAGATATACAATACCTCTTAAGGTTATATACTTAGTTTAAGAAAACCTTTATACAAATATGAATTAAAAAGCTAAAGATAATTACCCATATTACATGGCATTGCTTTGCAAAAGATTTCTCTAGGATACTCTAAAAAGAAGAGGGGTTTTTTTGTGTTTATACATGTGTTTGCTTTAAGAAATTCTTAAAAAAAAAACAAAGAAGAATCACAGAAAGACTTTGTTTTAAGTGTTAGGACGTCATTACATGGGAAAAATAAATCAGAGGAGATACAGCCTCTTTAATTATTGGTTGGTGAGAAAATAATATTCAATTTAAAGAATCCTTATATGAATGCCACTTGTCAAGGTTTCATAAATTTTATAAAAAGAAGTATAAGTATAACTGAGAAGTTATCAGATTAGTAAATATGATAGTCATGGGCCTAAAAAAATTAAAACTCATCTATCATTTTAAATTATCATTACATAAAAGGACTACCTTCATTTTAATAGATCACAAAAATCAAATGATACATTCAAAAATACTAAAGCAGGAAATTTCATTAAGATAAGCAATTTACATTACATCTTTAACATAAAGGATGAAAAAAATTCTAAATGACTAACCCTTGCCAAGTAGGCCTCCACTCTGCTTTCTGAAGACATGGTATTTCCAGTAGAATATACTAAATTTCCTCTTGGAATTAGATTTCTACTGAGGAGCATACTGGTATTAACATTCCCAACATGTGGTGGCTCCAGAACTGGACTTGCAGTAAAACTGTTGATTAAAATTTTATTCTTTTGTTTTTCTTTCTGGAGTCGGTGACTCACCTCAGTTAGCCTCTCACTATTTCTGTGAACATTTAAAAGCACATAAATGGTTAAATAAATATTTTCAAAAATATTTTAAATGGTGGGTGTTTTTATTAATGCTATCATAATTGTAATTTTTCCCTGAGTAGTTTCTTAACTCTGAAAACAATTCAAAAATATGTTATTAAAGTTTTTGGATAATTGAGTTACTTCCATTACAGTCCTTTCCAAATAAATAGTATAAAGAAATTGAGTGAAGAAAAAGGTTGTCAGACTATCCTGGGAAAATTAAAAACAAAATAAACCAAACCACAAAAGATACTTGCAAATCTGGGGTTCCTTACTAAGCTCATCTTTCAGGAAGCCATTAAAAGCACTTGTATTCTATAAAATTGTATTGGAAATTAGTAAAGTTGTTTTAAAGTTGTTCAAATCTGAGTGATTATTCTAGGCAATGCCTTTGCAGTCTTTCCACCTGGACCCAGATAGCAGCCAAAGGACCCAGGGATGCAGTTTCTAGGGGGGAAAGGAGGTGACTCACTTGAGGCTAAAAAAGTCCTGAGACTCTCAACTGTATAGCCAGCCCACAATACCTACCCACCATTGTCACCATTGTCATATATGGCAAGGAAGATTGCTCCATCTCTTTTTTTTAAACAGATAACATCTTTTGGCTATCCAAGACTCTAATTTAAACCCTTCTGTATTATTTCCCTTCTTTCTTTTTTTTTTGTTTTTAGGCAATTGGGGTTAAGTGACTTGCCCAAGGTCACACAGCTAGTAAGTGTCAAGTGTTTGGTCTGAGGCCGGATTTGAACTCAGGTCTTCCTGACTTCAGGGCCAGTGCTCTATCCACTGCACCACCTAGCTGCCCCTGTTTCCTTTCTTTCTTTTCCCCTCCAATAACTCTCACAATGAGCTTTCACATATATAGAAAACAGAAGGGCTGGGACAGTAATGAATTGAAGGGAATGGTTTGACTTGCTGAGGGTCACCAGGATGGCCCCAAGTCCTTCAGTCGTGGTTGTCACCATTAGAAGGTTATTTACAATGTGTTATATATTGCTATGATCCTGTTATACATTTTCAGAAACACTTAAAACCTTTTAATACTGTCATTTGGTGAAATGAGAATAATGTTATTCTAATTTTCAAAATATTTAACTTCATCCTGGAAGGACTAATCTGTAGCATACAGTAAAAAGAAATAATATTGCATACAAATAAGACACTTAAAAATAAATAATTTTCATAGCATCGTAGATTGAGGACTGAAAGAGAAGCCACCTAATCAAACACCCTCATTTTAAAGATGAGGAAACTGAGACCCTGGGAGGTTAAGTGACTTGCTCAAGGCCATACAATAGTAAGCACCAGAGGCAAGATTTGAAGCCAGGTCCTCTGCCTCTAAAGCCAGAGTACTATCTTTCCAATATACCTCACTGCATACTTTTGTACCTAGTTAACATTTTAAAAAATATTTGGTTTACCAATGTTTATAAAAGTATAGTCTCTACAGCTAACCCCCACTTCCCGATGAAGTCATAGATCAGTCCATTAAGGATTCGCTAAATTCAAAATGGAAAACCTTAAAAGCAATCTGATAAGTTTAAGTACTATTTTCTTATGTGTCCCTGTTTGGGCTTACCTGTGTAATTTGTTTGACAATGATCTTCTGAGTTTTAATTCTTCAGAATAAAGCTGTCTGTATCTCTCTAGCTCTGCTTCAGCAGACTCTTGACGTGAATTTTTCATTTTGGAGAGTTCGGATTCCAGATCTCTAATTCGTTGCTCCATTTGGTTTCTTAGGGAAGCACTGTTATTTTCTCTTAATTGTTCTAAGTTCTCTTGAGATGCTGCTTGTATCTACACCAAATGGAAAACAAATAATGAAGTAAACAAAAAAAAATGCAACAAAAAACCCAACTCTATTCTGAAAATTATAGGATGTTTGTTATCATATTCTATTAGGTTTCATTTTAATTTTTGTCAGTGATTCAGAGAGCAATTCTGAATTTCTAAAAACAGATTCTAACTTTGAAAGTATTCATTATCAAGGTCAGCTGAATTAAATTTGAACTAAAAAAAACAACCTATTTCTATTGGATGTTAGTTCACTAGTTCTTATCCTAGTGCTAATATTAGGATCATTATAAAAATAATAGGTATAATTCTAAAAAAAATTTTATCTACAGAATCTTCACGAATATTTTGTTACAATGAAAATATTGGTAGGAGTAAAAAAAAAAACCCTTGACCTTCAATTTTTTGTAATTATGCAAATTATTTTTTAAAAACTCAATTGATGTGGATAGAGTACTGGCCCTGAAGTCAGGAGGTCCTGAGTTCAAATCCAGCCTCAGACATTTGACACTTACTAGCTTTGTGACTCTGGGTAAGTCACTTAACCCCAACTACCTAGCAAACGAACAAATAATCATAGAAAAAATGCCCCTCCCACCCAAAAAAAGTCACTTCAATTGAAAGTATATATGGTTACTTTCAGTAATGATTTCAAATCCTGTAAGAAGGCAGAGGGAGAATATTTAAAATATATATATATACATATATATATATATATATATACTGGATTTAGAACAGGGAAAAAATCCTAAACTTTCATTTACATAGAAATATTTGAAAAGCATAGTAGTGATAAAATAACCTATAAGAATAGGTTGCCTTTTTTTTAGTTTTTCAACAGTCACCTTCCTTGCTCTTTCTTCAATCTCACGTTTGTATTGTGCTATTTGACTGCGTTCTTGCTTAGTGATTTCCAAATGATGCCTAAGATTGACGACTTCTTCTTCCAATTGTCTTTTATTCCCTTGCAGCTTGGCACAATTCTTTTGTAAGATTTTCATAGAAAATAACTCTTCTTGAAGACTTTGATTAATTGATTTATACTGTTTACATTTTGAAGATGCTGCTTCCAATTGTTGTGTAAGGTTTTCAATCTGTTTGTATAAAATATCAGTTTAGCAAATCACACAAGTAAAATTAAGTTCTTTCAACTTAAATACTAATTTAAACCTCTTAAGATTAAATAATTTTTAATTCAGATGTAACTAAATGTATCATTATCTTATATTATAGCTGTATAATATATTTCCTAAAGTGGTTATTTAGGTAAATTGACAAATCAAAAACAAGACTAAAAGGAGAAACCATGGAATTATATTACTAGCTCTTATAGTCTGTATCATCCACATTTAGTACTTGATCCCATATCATCTTCTGTGTTCTCTAATTTTTTCACCTGTCTTTCCTGACCAGCTTTTAGTAGAGTGAGCAGATATCTATAAAATTCATAGTAGATCAACAAATACTTCTTAGGTTATGCTAGGCCTACTGCAACAATAGATCTTAAAAGGAATTTTGAAAGAAATGAGATTCCTTTTTATCATCCTAATGAGAACACTGCTTCTATGATGATAGACTTTACTGAGAAAGTAAATAAATTTATGCTAATTTGAATGTCACATGGTGAGATGCTCAATTTCAGAGCCAAAGAAAATCATGTCTTTTTCATCTATGTAACTATGGTGATAGTGCCCAGGGAATACACAACATTTAACAGAGCTTCTATTGTGTAATGGACCCATTCCTGTTCCCCAAGTGCATTAACAAAACAATCCAACAACCTTAGCAGGACTTCTATCTGTTTTCCTTCAGGCCCAGGAGTTAGATGACTGACTAAAATAAGTGATAAATAAAAAAGTGTGACACCACCGAGTTCCAAAGGGCAAAAACTCAATAAATGTTAAGAAGTTAATTCTTTTAGATAAATATTGATGAGAAAGGCAAGACAGCAGATATCAACTAGGAAAACTAATAGTAGTAAGATGTTTCTAAGGAGTCACTTGTCATTATAGAAAAAAAGTACTAAAACTACTAGTTAGCATCATAGGACTTTACGGTTTGCCAATGTTATCTCACTTGAACACTTGGGATGTTTTTCAAAACCTCTTTAGGACTTTCCTCCAACTTGTGGTGGCCTAAGGTGTTAGAATTGGGGAAATGTCTCGATATCATCAAATACTAGAAACTTAAAAAAAAAGAGTAGTAGCTTCAAATGAATTAGTCAATTTATTATTCTTCCAGCACATGGGCAATCTTTGCTTCCCTAAAATAGAAAAAGCAATGCAGAGAGTATACTGCAAAAGAATAGTTTTCACCCACTTACTGGTGGAATGAAATGAACATCTTCTAAGTCCTTTTAACCCTGTGTTGTATTATGTTTCTTAATATTAGCAGTGGTCTCAAAACACATAAACAGGCAGTTTTTAGGTGAAGAAACTGAAGCTATCTATAGTCATATGAAAAATGTTCTGAATCAGTAGGGATTAGAGAAATGCAAATTAAAATGACTCTGAGGTACCACATCACATCTATCAGGTTGGCTAACATGAAAAAAAAAACAGGAAAATTATAAATGTTGGAGAAGTTGTGGGAAAATTGGAACACTAAGGCATTGTTGGTGGAGTTGTGAACAGATTCAACCATTCAATTTGGAACTATGCCCAAAGGGCTATATAACTGTGCATACCCTTTGACAATCATAAAGATGGGAAAAGAACCCACATGTACAAAAATATTTATGCATCTCTTTTTGTGGTGTCCAAGAACTGGAAATTGAGGTGATGCCCATCAATGAGGAATGGTTGAACAAGTTGTGGTACATGAATGTAATGGAATATTATTGTGCTATAAGAAATGATGAATAGGCAGACTTCAAAAAAACCTGGAAAGACTTATATGAACTTATGCTGAGTGAAGTGAGCAGAACCAGGAGAACATGGTACACAGTAATAACCACATTGTGCAATGACTAACTTTCATAGACTTGGCTCTTCTCAGGAAATCTAAGATAATTCCAAAAAATTCATAATGGAAAATGCTATCCACATCCACAGAAAGAACTATGGAGTCTGGATGCAAATTGAAGCATTCTATTTGCTCTTTTTTGTTGTTTTGTTTTGTTTCTTCTTCCTCCGAGTTCTTCCCATTGTTCCCAATTCTTCTTTACAACATGACTAATGTGAAAATATGTTTAATATGAATGTATATGTAGAGCCTATATCGGATTGCATGCCATTTTGGGGAGGAGAGAGAGGAGAGAGAGGGAGAAAATTTAAAACTCAAAAGCTTATCAGGGCAGCCAGGTGGCGCAGTGGATAGAGCACCAGCCCTGAAGTCAGGAGGACCTGAATTCAAATCCGGCCTCAGACCAAACACTTGACACTTACTAGTTGTGTGACCCTGGGCAAGTCACTTAACCCCAACTGCCTAAAAGAAAAAAAAAACTTATGGAAGTGGATGTTGAAAACTAAAAATAAATAAATAAATTTGAAAAAAAAATATTAGCAGTGATCACCTTGCAATCAAACTGTTGCTTTATTTGTTCTTTGTCATTTTAAAATCTCTTAAAGAACAAGTGATTTGCAAATTATTTCTGCCTATTAGTCCTCCTTTTGGGGGGATTTTTTTTTCATCTTTAGGATTACAGAAGAAGAGTGTCAGAGGGAGATCAGAGGTTCTAAGAGGCCCTGCAAATACTGACCCCTAAAAGGCTTTCCAGCATTTGGTTTTTCAAACCACCCATTCCCTTTGAGATCACTCTAATTGCTAGAAAGTTTTTCTTTACATCAAACCTAAATTTGTGTCTTTGCCACTTCTATTCATGAGGAAAACAAGTCTAATATTTCTCCAACCTAACAATGTTTTGAAATACTTGAGAAGTGCTTTTAACACAATATATTTAGATATATTCAATTTGATATGAATTTTATAATGGGAGTAGAGGAAAAATTTCTAATATACAAATCTATATAGAAAGTCACTGGATCCCAAAATTTTCAGGGAGACATAGTCTCCAAGGTTGTCCACTGAGACCCTGAGAAAAGCAAGAATTGTGTGACTAAGCCTTAGATAGAAAGTGCTGCCTTCCATGGAGAAGATGTAAATCTTCCCATGGGTACTGTGTCCAATGACCACCTACATATATAACTATCTCAAAAGGAATATAAAGATAAGACACTTTACATTTTCCAATATTAAGGATTACCTTATTTTTTAACTTATTAATTTGTCTATCCATTTCAGAATGTGTTTGCATCCATCTCTCCTCATAAACATCTCCTTTTTCGTATTCTCTTAATTTCTTTTGTGTTGTTTTCAATAGTTTTTTAAATCTGTGAGAATGAACAGAATATTTCGATCAAACTCTTTATAGCTTAAATATTATACACTTAAAAAGTATTGTTTTTGACCCATTGCCTTAAATTATTTTCAGGCATAGAGAAGAAAATAAGTCTAAAACAATTTCTTAAGGTCACCCAACTCAAATCGGACAATATTTAGTTAAAATAAAACCAAAGTAACACTAGCCTCACTAATCATTTCATCTCTATTTCAAAAGATGTATATTCATCATAGGCTCTGCATTAGTATCTCTTCATTGTAGAATATTTCCCAAAAAGATTTCTGGTTACACTGTAATATTTGTAGAAAGGGGGATATCTTCCAGTAATATAACCCAAAAGTTAAATGATAAGTAAATTTATTTGGAAAAGTTTTATGGTGAGGTTTTGTACCTTTGTTTTTTTTTTAATTGTAGATCTGTGTAAATTAGTTGGTCAAGTATTTAAATGCCCTTAGTTCACAAAACACAAATGATGAGTCCTTGATTGGATTTTCTTTGGAGCATTCTTAAGCACTTATCACATTCTTATTTGCACACATTATTTGTGTCCCTCCATTACCTCTTTTACTGGAAAACATATTTTAAGATAAAGGTGCTACACAGCATTTTACTATAACTTCAAAGATGCAGGTCAGAAGATTTGATTTTCAGCAATCATTTAGTTAATAAAATGAAAATGAAAAAATCTTTGTTCACTTAGAATTATATATGCTATAATTATCCAAGTGTTAATGTATAAAATGAAGTTGTAGTTAGGACTTGACAAAATAGTTAAGTCTTTGCTTACTTAATGTGTGGTTGAAACAGCCTGCAACAAAAAGGATCTTACCCACTGAGGTCTTTGTGTAATTCATCATTTCTCTTCATTTCTTGTTCTACACGATTTTCCAGAGATTGCTTTATCTCAATGAGTTTCTGTAATTTTTCCTTTTCAGTATTAATCTTTGAAAACAGTTTTACAAAGAGAAATGTTACAAGAAAAGAACTGGCATTTTAAAAATGGATACTTTTCATTAACTCCGGATCCAGCTATAAATATCAGTTTAAGCACAGTTTATAAAATCAAAACAAATATGGAAAAATTGATCTTACTTTAAAAAAGACATACTTTCCTCTGATTTCACTACAAACTATTTCTTTTTTGAGATTTGGATCAGTGAAAGTTCTCATTTGATTTCAATATAGGTTACACTAATAATGTGAATAAATTTTAAAATGATTGAAATGCATAGGAATGCATAGAATGTGGGCCGAGTTTGCCAATACACACTGGAGGAACAATGGCCTTCTCCCTTGCTCTAGAGACAATGTAAATGGTCTCCTCATCCCTATTACCCCATGTTGCAACACCTGGCCCATGTTCTAAGCATTCCTATCTTGAAATGTGTATGTATATATATATGTATATGGGGGAGGGCAGCTAGGTGGCGCAGTGGATAGAACACCAGCCCTGAAGTCAGGAGGACCTGAGTTCAAATCTCGCCTCAGACCAAAACACTTGTCACTTACTAGTTGTGTGATCCTAGGCAAGTCACTAAACCCCAATTGCCTTTATATATATACACACACACACACACACACACACACACACACACACATACATATTTATATGTATATATGTATATATACACATGTGTGTGTATGTTCTTATGTTAGGCTACTATATATATGTGTGGCAGGGGGGTGTGCGTTCTTACGTGAGGCTATAAAACTGTTCTCCAAATCTCTTTGTATTTAGCTAAGTAAGATCTGTATAAATTCATATTTCGTTAATCTTCTTGAGTGCTACCTACTGCTGTAGATTATGAGCCAGGCTAATGATCTATCCCTTTGTCAACTTCCTTTCAAGGTTTTTAACTTCTCCCTTCTCCAGTGGTCTTCTCTATCTTACAAAGGAAGAAAGAACCCTCCTCATTCTACTGAAATCTGCTGCCTTTTCTAGATTCCTTTTCCTTCACCTCTTTGCTTCCAAAACTTCTCCAATGAATGACTATCTCACAGTTGCCATTTCTTCATCTCTTATTCCCATTTCATGCATCTATTTATTTATGATTGTTTGCTTATTTATTTGGTCTGTATCTGTGATTTAATTGGTATAGGGAACAGACAGGCCCTGTGCCCAGCCTGCAATTTAGAATCTGCAGCTCTCAGAGTCTTAGGGAATGGCTTAGGGCACCAAGAGTTTACAAGGCTTGCCCAGGATCACAAAGTCATCTGTGTCAGAGTTGGGATTTGAACCCATGTTTTCCTGATTCTGAGGCTAGCTCTCTATGCAAATAACATAGTGCTTTCCTTTCTTTCCATGAAATCTGGATTACCTCCATACTACTCTACTGAAATTGCATTGTCAATAGGCAGAAGTTCTATCCATACCCAAAAACCTTTCTTCTTAGTCTCTGACTTCACTGCAACATAGGATCCTGTTTCTCTTATCTGATTTGTCATTTATTATCCCTGTAAATTATCCCTTCATGGTGTTTCTCTTTCCTGTTTTATCTCATGGCTATTTCTACTTCACAGAGCTGTTTGGTGATTAAATGAGATAATATATGTGAAGGGCTTTCTAATCATAAAGTATGATAGAAATGATATAGTTATTGTTACTTTGAAAAACACTTCATTCCTTGTGTGAGGAGAAATAAACAAAATTGTCAACTGCCTAAAGAGTGAATACAATTATCCCAATTTAAAAGTACAAATGGTGGAGGTTATAGGTTTTGTTCTAAATCAGTTTAAATGACAGGCACAGTGTTCAGGAAATATATGGTATTGATAAAAAATAAATGTTACACTGAAAACACTTTCCATTAATCAGTGACAAGTTACTGACTTTTTGCATACATACTTTACTTTTGGTCTGATCTGTTTCGTTCTGTAGTTTTTTCACATCTTCTAAATCATTTCGAAAAAGTGATGTAGCCTCTAGTGAAGCTTCTGTCACAGGTTGGTTTTTTTTGGAATCAGCAAGTTCTTGTTGAAGCTTTCTTACTGTATCCTGATAGAAATATGTCCCAATTATTTCTATTACTGATTTCATAAATCAATGTTAGGTCATATAAAGTAAATATACTTTCATCACATGTAACTTAATTTCATAAACATATTCATAGTTATCATAGATTTAGAACTAGACAAAGTCTTAGAGACTATTTAATTCAACCACCTCATTTTGCACATGAGGAAACTAAGCCCCAAAGAGTTACTCAAGGTCATAAACTTAGTAATTAATAGAGAAAAGGATTGGAACTTAGTTCTTGAGACTACAATGCTCTTTTGACTACACCACTCACCCTCCATTCAGCATGGATCAAATGCTATCTTCCTACACGTTCAGTCTGATTTCCCTATTCCTTCTTTTTGAAAATTATAACATCTCCAAAGCCACATAGGGGATAATTTCTTTTTATTTGCAACATGGATGGTGGCGGAATGGGGGAGGGAAGAATATATAGCTTCCTATACTCGATAGAAACATTAGGGTTTTTTCCTTTCCATTTTTCAGAAAAGTTAACTACCTTATTTCTTTGCACAGGCCCTTATAAGAATAAAGACATCTATAAGAACAAGTTGCATTTTCCTTCCTCTCATAGTTCCCCTGAAGAATAATCTTATGCACTGATACGCTTGTCAGGGTTCATTAAAGAACTTAAAGTGACTGATTTGATTTGCTGAAAGCAAAAAAAAAAATAGGATTGGGGTGGGGGGATTGCTAGCTTCTATTCACATCTTCAACTGTCCTTGCCAAGCCTTCAAAGCAGTTCCTTTTTCTGTTAGGATAGGAATTATACTCGTGGTTGCAATCAATGGAACAAAAAAAGGGGAAAGTATAGAAAATTTGGTAGTTCTCTCACTTATGTATAGAGAGTATGGTGCAAGGTCACAGCTAAAGGGAACCCACATTATTTAATTTCATTCTCTAACCTAGCAGGAATATCTCCATACACATTTGTGCATGTATAAACATGTACAAACATACATGTATATGTACATATACACATATACACACTTGTATATGTATTTACAGATATAAAACATCCAGTTCATTTTCACTAAAGAGCAAAGTAAATTATTGTACATATTATTAATACCAAATGAAGCTAGAAAGCAAAAGGAATTAAAAATTTTCCATCTGCTTAGATAAGAGTATCTTGTAAAAGTAAATTTAACTAAAGTCCAGAACAACTTTTTAAAGGAAACCTAAGCTAAAAGAAGCTGATATAAAATCATGAAAGGAAAAATTGGCATAATTAATTGGATTCCTACAAATAAACCATATTCTAGTATGAAATGACTAGATTCAAACACATAATCATATACATGAAAAATAAAATTTAAAAACATTTTATATATGAAATGGTTACCCAGTACAATACTTGGTAGTCCTGCCACCCACTGCATATATGAAAAATCACAGATAATGAGAATTGCTATTAGACTGTTAAAAGCTATCTATCTTCAACAAATGAAAGGTAGAGATCCCAGAACCTGCAATTTTGGACATTAAGCAAGAGGTTTTAGTAAAACAGTGAAAAAATACTAAGACAAATAAAAAATATGTAGTAGGAAAGCAAAAACACGTTTGTTTGCTTTTTTAAATGGCTTTATTACCACACACACGAAAAAAAATGAATGCTTGATGCACAATCATGATCTCTTTGAACAGAATTACTGTCCTAAATTTTAAAGGAGAGTAGTCGCTAGTGTTTGGAATTTCATTACAATATGATCCAGTGTTTAATATTTCTAAAATTAGTTCAAAGTAGTTTGAATTAAAACTACTCAGACTGATAAGCTGTTTAAATGATTATGAAAAGGGTAACTATAATATCCCACAGTATCTCAATTCAGATATGAACTGTTACATTATCACTAGCATAATTTTTCATGATTTATCTTAAGTTTTATAATTTCAAATAATTTATTCTATTGAATATTAAAATGGAATATTATTAGAATTATAACTATATCAGTATTTATTTAGAAGTGATTAATTCCATCTACCTTTATTAAACCAACCTTCTGCCTTTAAAATTTCATGGGTTACATAATATTTTTAAGCAAAGTGAGTCATTCTACTTAAAGATGGATATCAGGTTGATTTTTAATGTGTTATTGCTTCCTCATTCTCCTTTCTTACATGTCAGAATTTTTACAATTAAAGTTAATAACATCATCTGCCTGCTGAAAATTCAAATTTCTAATTTACCTTGATCAAAATTACTTTGAATTTCATTTCAAAAAAGTTAAATGCTTATCAAATGATATTTTTTAAAGACCTACCTCTTTCTGCTTTCTCATTTTCATATTTACACATTTGATCTTTTAAGTATTTACATTCACTGATTAACTCTTTATTTCTGCATTCTACCATAAGAACTTGTTTTTCCATATCAGCATGAAGTTTATTGAAGAGATCAATAAACTGTACCTGGGCATCTCTCAATACCCTTTCTTTAAAGGTTTCTTCTTTTTGGGAATCTTCACGCTGTTGCCGAAGCAACATATTTTCACCCTGGATTTGGGCTAATCTTTCTTGGATAGATTCATATTTGATGATACATTTGTTCAGTTTTTCCTTTTCCATTTGATTTGTGTGTTCCAGTTCCTTTACTTTATATTGGGCCTGGTTTAATTCTCTCTGTATGCTTTCTAAAATGAGTGTCTTTTCTCTGAGAGAATCACATACATGGTGTAGCTCATTTTCTAAACTATTGGCATTACTTTCAGCTTTAGAGAGTTCTTGAGAAAGGACACCATTCTTCTCTCTTAGACTAGACAAGTCATAATTTAGTTTGTCCTGTAAACGAAGCCACTCATCTCGTTCTCGCTGAAAGCTATGTTCAAGGTCCAGTTTTGATGTCTGACTTTGTTCATGATCACAAATAGCAGAAGTCAGACGGGAACGGTATGATTCAATTTCTGTCTCTAATCTGTCTCTGTTTTGTTTTTCATTCTCCAATTTAGAGTTCAGGATTGCATTCTCAGTTGTCAGAACATTTACTTGTCCACTGTACTGGGATATTGTTTTTGTTAATGCTTCTTCATTCAGTTTTAATTCCTTTTGAAGCTCATCATTCTTTTCTTTTAAAACTTCATTTTCTTCTGTATATTGGCTTTCTTTTTCTTGATCCTTAATTTTTACTGTGTCTAACTCCAGTTTAAATACAGCAACTTCATCCTGTAGGGTTTGATTTCTATGCAGCAGATATTTTTCTTTTTCATTGCTATTAGGAACCTAAACACAATGAACAGGAAAAAAATTGCTACTCAAAATAAAATTATGCATTCTGATTTTTGCTTCGTAATTAGAAATAAACCCCAAGGGCCAAGAATCCTAATGTATTCAAAGAGAACAGAAATTGAGTGGGTTTCACCTATTTCACATTTCTGTCAGACTCAATTTTCTGAAAGAACATATCTTAAAAGTGCTACATCATTCAGAGGATACGTACTTCAGCTATTCAGTGCTCAAAACAGATAGGCATTTCACTATATGATATATGAGTATATTTTATAAATCCTGTATTTTTAAGTCCCCAAATCTGACTGCCTTTCAGCATATTTTATTTCCTTTGTTGTATCCATTGAATCCCACACTGGCTATGCATGGTGTTATGATAAAAATAACAGCACCTAATATTTACAGAGGCCTTTTAAAGTACTTTGCAAAGTACTTCCAAGACATTATCTGACATAAGCCTTCCAAACACCCTTATGAGGGAAATATTCATATTATTCTCGCCATTTTACAGATTAGGACTTAGGTTAGGAGAGGTTATTAAATAACCTGCTCATTGATACACCTAGTAAGCATTACAAGCAGTATCTGAATCCAGGTCTCTTCAGACTCCAAATCTAGCACTCTTTTCCAATAGCTAATTTCCACCTAGGTGTTGAAGATTAGTTGTCCTACAGTTAGTGTCATTGTCCTGGTACGACTATCTTAGCTGCAGACTAATGAAGTGATAACAGTCTTAGAATTTCTTAGTGTACATCTTGAGAACAGTCTATTCTCTGATAGATCTGTAGCATTTTCAGAGCATCACTGATTTAGAACTTTTAGAGGTTATCTAGTCCAAACCTGTCATTTTAGGGATGGGAAAAGTGAGGCCCAGAGTGGGATCAGTAGATGATAACCTAACCCTAACCATGAAAGTTTAAAGGAATATTGAAAGCATTATTGATGTCAGAATATAAAAAGTTAATTTTGCATTTCTATCAGAGTAAAAGTGGTCCAGGAGCATTTGTCCCCATTCAGGACTGGTGGAAACAGCTATATCAAAAAGCTCCGGAGCCTCATTCTATGAGATCCCTTCTATAAAGACAGGAGAAAGGTATGAATAGGCAGCAACTGAATTAAATGAAGCACTCCAGCGCCCAGACACCAAAGGATTACTAAGGGCAAACAACCTGAATGATTTAATTCAAACCACTGTTGAAAAAAAAAAGAAAATAATAATCCTAAATTTGGCATTTGATGAACTTGTGTTTTTCTATCATGCTGAGCAATGATGAATGTGAATGAATGAATCCTTGCCATGTATAGAGCCTTCTTTTAGAAATCTAAGTGAAATTTATTCTTGTTGTACATGCTTTTATTCCTTCTCTGCTCACTAGCTACTATAATTCTGTGGTAGACACAAATGAATAAAATGGTACAGGCTAAATCTGATTAAGTTTGAGTACAGAAATATTTTTACCTTCTCAGTTTTGGAAGCTATGCTTCTCTTAATGCAATGCAAAATTACATCAGCTTTTTGGTTGCCAAATAACAGCACTGAGTCAATTAAGCTTAGAGCTCACTAAGACTCCTACAACTTTTCAGGCAAAATGCTATCTAATCATATTTCCCCCAACTTATACTTGTGAAACTAATTTTTTGTGCCTAATTATAAACTTTACCTCAATTCTTACTGAATTTCATCTTTTTAGTGGATTCAGTTCAGTGTTCTGACCTATTAAGACTTTGCCTTTCTTCCATTTAGAAAGGCTTGGATAATTTTAATTGCATAAGGAAGAGGTAAAGATGCTAGAGAATAATAAACTTTTCTGAAAGACTGAAGGGTGTGTGGTAAAGTGGAATATAAGGAACAGAGAAAGGGACTGAACCTGAAATGTCATTAGCCTAGAGATTTTTCAGGTAAGGAAACTCCCTCTGCCAAGGTAGAGAAGTTCTCTGCAACTTATAGTCTTAGACTGGGGACAGAGCAGTGATGTCAAACAGATCCCCCCAGTTCTGTGTTTTGTGGGCAGTTTTTGGAGAGTTTGAAACATCTGGCTTAGGCTCAGATGAAATGACTTGCCAAGGGTCATATAGTCAGGATGTGTCAGTTGCAACACATGAACCCAGGTCTTCCTCAATTTGAGGGGAGATCTATCTGCTATACCATACTGATTCTCTGTGAGACACTTCAAAAAGTACTAGCTCCATCTTACCCTTACCATGCCTATTTAGCCTGTAATTTTACATTCAAATGCTAAAATAAGGGATTTTTTCTTTATTTTTCTTTATGAATACATTTTATGAATGACTAAACCCAACTTAGTTATACTAGACATAAATACCATAGTCCTTTTTTAGGATTAAAAAGACTTCACAGTATTCACCTGCCCTCCCAGGGAACCCATAAAGATTCTTAACTAAGAAAAGATGGAAATATTGACTTTTAAATTCCAGTTTGCCAGTTTCAAATTATTTCTTACTCTTTTCAGTTCAAGGTCCAGAGTTCTAAGAGTGAATTCAAGTTGCTGTTTTAGCTCCACTTCTTTACTATATTGTTCTTCTTTTCTTCTTAACTGTTCTCTTATTTTTTCAAATAGCATTTCTGCAGTCACTCGCTTTACTTCCTCTTGCTTCAGCGTAAACCTAGATTAAAATTGCTTTTTTAAAAATCACAGTTCAATAGAAATAAGTAGCATAATGCCATTTAATTATATTCAACTGGACCATTAAAGGAAAAGAATATTAATTTGAAGAGAACTGGATCTGTGTAGGGAACTCACTATCAGGAATCTCCCTCTACTGATGCAGATTGGTCCCTGCTCTGCAATTTTGAGCCTTAGATAGTTCATGGGGTTATTGAGGATTTATATCACTTGTTTAAGGCTCACACAGTCAGGATGGGTCAGAAATGAGACATGAAGCCATTTCTCTACCCAGGCTACTCCAGGGCATTAAACTTCTATCAAAAATGTATAATATAGTTTTTTGGGTGCTTTGGCTTTCTATATTCAATGGAGAAACATTCCATAAATTGGATACATACGCCCACCTACTTCCCTCCTTTCCTGCCTGCCTTTTTGGCTTTAAAACTTTACTGAACTGTACTAAAGAGGAGCTAGAGGAAATTCCTGAGTTTTGATACATCTGAATGACTCTGATAAAAAGTTTAGAGGGAGAGGCAGAGGCAAGATGGTGGAGCCATCGCCTGAGCTCTCTTCCAAATCACTTCAAATCACTTTGAAAAATGATTAAACAAATTCTAGAGCAGCAGAACCCACAAAAAGATGGAGTGAAAAAAATTTCCAGCCCAACACAACTTGGAAGGTGGGCAGGAAAGGTCTGTTGCACCAGAATGAGAGAGGAGCATAGTCCAGCACAGAATGCGCCAGTACAGACCAGCCCCAGTTCCAGGAAATCAGGAGCAGGCCTTGGGACTGACTTAATCAGCAGCAACAGCAGTTGCCTCTAGAGCTCTCAGCCTGCAAAGGGTAAGGGGGTCCAAGAACTGTTCAAATAGAGGCCTTTTTGCTAACCCTGAGGCAGACCTCTGTTGCTTTGCCCATACTGGATCTGGGTCACAGTCCTGGGTGGCAGTCCTAGGGCAGGAGGAGCAGTAGCATAGCTGAGCTTGCAGCCACAGTGGAGGAGGGACCTTCCTTACAGTTCCAGGGTAGAAAAGAGCGGTTATGGTTGCTTACAGATCATAGCACACACATAGCACACACAAGGAGAGTAGTAAACACTTATCCTTAGATCATACTACTTGGAAGAATTGAAAACTTACAGGTCCCTAGAAATATCTGTGAAAACAGCTGCACAAAACCCCTGAAGCTTGGGACAGTATGACTTCCACCCTGGAAGCAGAGCCCTACTTTAACAAAGTGTTAAAAGTCAAAACATAGGCTGGGAAAATTAGTAAACAATGGAAAAAAACTAAGACCATAACACTTACTTTGGTGAGAAGGAAAATCAAAACATATACCCAGAAGAAGACAACAAAGTCAAAGCTCCTACATCCAAAGTCTCCAAGAAAAATATGAATTGGTCTCAGGCCATAGAAGAGCTCAAAAAGGATTTTGAAAATCAAATAAGAGAAGTAGAGGGAAAATGGCAAAGAGAAATGAGAGTGATATACAAAAATATTTATAGCAGCTCTTTTTGGGGGTCAAAAAATCAGAAACTGAGGGAATACCCATCAATTGGGGTATAGTTGAACAAATTGTGGCATGTGATTATGATGGAATACTATTGTCCTATAAGAAATGATGAGCAGGATGCTTTCAAAAAACCTGGAAAGACTTTCATGTGCTGATGCAACATGAAATATGTTGTGTACAAAATAACAACAATATTGTGAAAAACAGCAGTGAAAAACTTAGCTATTCTCAGCAATACAATCATCCAAGACAACTCCGAAGGACTTAGGATGAAAATGCTACCCATCCCCAGAGAAAGAATTGATGGTGTCTCAATAAAGATTGAAGCATACTTTTTTTTTTACTTTATTTTCTTCAGTTTTATTTTGTCAATGTTTTCTTTCACAACATGACTATTATGGATATGTTTTATATGACCATACGTGGATGAGTTATTTTGAACTGCCTGCCTTCTCAATGAGGGGGGTTGGGGAGTGAGGAAGGGAGACTTTGGAACTAAAGTTCTAAAAACGAATGCTAAAAATTGTTTTTACATGTAAATGTGGAAAAACAAAAATAAAATACTAAAAAAATGTTTAGAGGGAAATGAAGAAAAAATTCCTGACTAAAATAAGGTGTGGGAATGATTTCTACATTTCCCTCATCCATTTTCTCATTACTAATGATTATTCAGAGTTGACTTTTACTTCATTTTGAAAAAAAAAAATTCCAATTGTGTTATAGTTTTGAAAGTTCACGAAAAATGCATCTCTAATGGATGTTCACATAATAAAAAGGATTAAGTAGGGCTCATTATATTATTATTTTAAAGATGTGTCATTTTTGCCTTCCCAACCTCAAATCCTCTCTCAGAATGCTTCAACATAAGAGAAATGCTTTGAAGTCTTTATTGAAACTCACGAGTTAGATACCTGAGACTACAGAGTTCTCTGTCCCATTCTGCTTTTTGATGCTCTAACTGGGATTTCATTTCTCTTGATTCTGATAATTCTTCCTGTAGTCCAGTGATCTTGTTTTCTAAACTCTTAACTTTTCTGGTGAGTAGTGTACAGTGTCCTTTTTTAAGTTCTATTGATTGTCCAAATCTAAGAACTGCATCCTGAATTTTCAAAAGGCTAATAAGATCTGTACAGAGAAAAACACGAGTAAATAAATATGAGTATTTTAAAATCTGCAGTAAAATATGAGTATTTTAAAAGTAGCACTATACTTAGAATTCAGATTCCACATATAAATCCTAAGGATATACCAAAATATTATTTTGTCAAAAGATTTACATTGAATTTGAAAATAACCTATTTTCTTGTGGGCATTGTGGACAATTAAAAAGAATCTCTAAGTTACACATAACTTTAGAAAAAATCATTTGAAACCTCAGAATTCTTCAAAATGTGAGAAAAATATACGTGAAAATTAAACATTCTGATGTGTACTCTGGGGGGGACGAATAAGGTTAATAAAGTGGATTATACATTTAATATCTATATATTCTAAATATACTGAATTATTTTAGAAGTATCATAAATACATTTTACCCTAAATAGTTATAGGTAAACACTGCTTCTTCCTTAGGGACTTATAATATAAATCTGTATGTAATATTCATACAATAACATCCATCCTCATTTATTCAGTGGACAGACTTTTGGTTACTTTAACCAAAATGTAGCTGAGACACCAGAAGAAAATGAAAAAAATCATCCGAGCATTAAGGAAAAAAAGCTGCCACAAAACCCAGGCACTTTATTCTGCAGAGAAATACATAGGCAAATTTAGACCTAATCCAGAGTTACAAATGTGTGTTATATGAAGTTACAAATTCAAGAGGCTTGGTTATCAAGTTTCCCTTGGCAACTTTCAGTTCTTCATACATTTCAGTGTTTAGCAGAATTAAAGCAGCAAGGAGAGAACAGGGTTGCTACAGGTAGACACACTTATCATAGTGGGTGGTGAAGCTGACAGTAAGGGAAATCATAAGCTCGAAGATTGAAAGCAAAAGAAGAAACTGAGGCACAGGGAAGTTAAAGGACTTGTTGAGATTGACACAGGTAGCAGGTGTATAAGGCAGAATCTGAACCTAGGTATTCATGACTTTATGTCCAGTACACTACCCTATATGCCATGCTGACAGAAGGATTATAAAAATTAGGCAGAACGTTTGTGAGATTGTTGACATTTTTGGCCAGTTAGTGAAATATTTGAATATTTTGGCTATTCTCTCCATGAAAGTGATCACTGCCTGATATCTTTATGCATCTAGTCATGTCAGTCTCTTTAATGGTTCTCTATTGTCAACCCAGCAAATAAAATTTATATACTTTGTCCTAGCATTCAATATTAATAACTCACATGTAGTAATACAGCACATATAGGCTCACAACAATCCTGTGAAATAAGGTATTTTATAGATGAAGAAACTGAAATTCCAAAATGCTTGGTTCTTCCCCTTACACTCCCATGATCTACACCTACTGAATTCATACCCATCCTTTAAAACTCAACTCAAATGCTACCTTCACAAAGAGGTTATTTTGATTCTTGATAGTTAATGTTCTTTCCCACTTTGAACCTCACATAGCAGAATGACTATACTCCTCAAGTATACATATATATTTTTAATATTAGAGTTATCTATGTAGGCTATATCCCCCTACTAGATTGCACACTCAATGAGGACAACGACTGTGTCTTATCTAAATTTTGTGTATATGGCACATGGTTGATACTTAATAACTCTTTTTGAGTTGAAAGAAATAGAAGGTCATCTTCTGTGGCTGAAAAATTCATCACCCTGAAGCCACCACAATCCCTTTCACCTTGGCAAGGCCTGTCAGAGATTAGAATCCAATGTCAGAGCCTCCAAGAATCCAAAGTCAAATCTATTTTACTATGAGTCAATGAAATAGGACTTCAGGGTATCTTCTTGTATATACCCACATCTTTGGTTTCTGTTTAACACTGGTATTTTGTTAGGTAATTTAAGAATATTCTTACCTTTACAATCAACACTAAGTTGTTCAATCAATAATAAAACATTCTTATAGTTTAAGGGAGGTAAATCATAATCCTTTGTAGCTGTGTCAGATGACTGAGTGAGGACATCAAGACCATCTGCTTCCTTCTGTACTTTGTCCCATAAAAATACGTAACAGCACTGTAAAATAACAAAAACTTAAAAATAATAACCACAGCTGACATTTGGGTAGCACTTTAAGGTTGTCACAGCACTTTATATACGTTATCTCATGGCATCCTCACAACCATTTTGTGCAAAAAGCTTTACTTATAATTATTTTACAAATGAGGAGACAGGCTAAGAGAAGTTAGGTGAATCATACAGCTAGCTTGCGTTCAAACTCAGGTCTTCTTGACTCTTTCCACTATGTCACCTAACTACCTAGAAGCTGAATTATTTAGGAACCTTATGAAAAATATAAATATTCATAATACCTCTTACAGATAATAGTCTTCATTTAATTTATAGGGGGAAATTAGGGAACAGCAACATAATTATTTTCCTAGCATTCATAATGGACATATTTCACTAGATGACCATTTCTAAAAGTATCCATTTTCAGATTAAGTACTGCTATATTTGTAGTGTAAAAAGGGGTATTATCTGTTCACTGAAACTTGCATTGTTTTTTTAAACAATTAAAAACGCATGTAAAAGTATACTAAATTGTGAAAAACTTCCAATAAAACTAGCACAAAAGGCCCTTTTACTGAAGTAATATATCTGAAATTTGAATATCATTTTTACATACCTGTTCCTGGTCACTTTTATGAAAACTTTCTTGGCCTTCCTCTGATGATCCTTTAAATTCCAATTCTCATGTGAAATCAATATTAATACTTAAGTAAAATTTATTTTATCTAGAATTACTTTTCTTACATAATTGAAATCTTCTCCACTAACAGTAATGGCAGTTGTGACAGCTATAATTTATCTATTGAAATATATTGTAAAATAAAGTGTAAATTGTAAAAAATGTTTATTTTACTAATTATGCATTTAGCTGATTATTTTGTAATCTCAATTTACTGCTACATTGTAAGTTTCTGGTAAGATGCTCATTTCATACCAAATCATAGGAAGCTGTGAAGATTGATTTATATTTAATCTAGTTTAAACAGTTACATTTGAAAAGGATAGGTAAACTAAAAGAAAATAGTCTGTGCATGATCAATTTATTAGTTAGGGTAGCAGTAAGCAATAAATTGGGTCATTGGTCTTTCTCAATGACCAAAGACCATGGGATAGTGATTACTAGCATTCGTAGAGTTTGGGGAAGTACAAGAGAACAAAGACCAGAGTTGGGTAGGTAGGGAAAACAATGAGATAGGTTATAGAGTAGACAGCATCATGCGGATGAGGACAACATGACTGACGGAAAATTGGGAGTGAGCGGTTAGTAACAACCCCTTCCTTTTCTCTTCTGACTAAGAAATGTTCATTACTTGAGTCCACCTGCAAGATTACAGACAGTGGACCAGACTATGGATAACAAAACAAGCCAGATATCCTTGAAAGATAGCTCGGTGGTATAAAGATACTAGACCTGACTTGCTGGTGTCCACATGCTTCCTTCAAGAGTAACACCTTTCCTTGACATGAGAATAGAAAAGTGATTAACCAGGGAACTAGATTTCTAAATTTAACTCATTATAGGACAGATGAATTTCTCAACTAAATTCAGAGAGAAAGAATAATGACTTAGGCAGAGAGAGGACAAAATCAATTAAAAAAAAAGACAGAATCTGATTATTCCAAAACACAGAGAGAACAAAACCTAAATCTTAATATGTGAAACCGCTGGTCAGGACTGTCTCAAAAGAAGTAGGAAAAAAGGCCTCTTCCTTGATGACATGTTGCATAGGAAAATAAAAGTAAATGAGATCTCTATCATTAAGTAACTCTATAAACTATTCTGATTGAGCCAAGAAAACATGAAAACAAGATGTGCAGATAATACTCCAACAGTTAATTAGAAATTCACTGTAAACATTTAGTTATCTCAGAGCTAGATACAGTATGATTACATGGAGAGAAATTCACACAGGTGAAAAGATTACCAGAACGTCTAAAGATTAGAAAAAAATAACTGCATATGCCACAAGTCAAGCAATCTATTGAAACAAAACAAACATAAACAGTTAAACCTGAGGATGACACAATTATCTTAATTTATGGAGCTTCAATAATAGTATTAAAACAACATTCCCAGGTATGGTAATTGCATTCCATTCAAACCAAAACAATTACTGGTAAGCTTCAACTAACCAGATAATTCACTACTTGGGGAAAGTTAAATCGATTATAGTTAGCTTTGGGGAAGATAGATATAAATAATCCAAAATGGCAGAAAAAAAGAAAACTCATTCATATATGGATTTTATACATGAATATAAACCTAATGGTTTTAGTATTTGAAACACTAAAAAAAATTGAGTAGCAAATCATGGTTAATTAGATAGGAGAAGACTAATTTAGCACACAAGCCTAAACCACCCCCTTTCAGTGTTTGTGAAATATGTTACACTGATTAGAGGAGAAACTCAAAATACCTCTTAAAAAGACACCTGCTAGATTCTAGGCTGCATGACAGGAGTGAAAACAAGCAGTGAATTCTGTCATCACATGACTTTATCATTTATTTTCCTTATCTATACTAATAAAGATTGGAATGTAACAAATTGAGCAAATAATCTACCTATGGAAAATTATTTATATTAACTCTACATGCTTCTTCATTATCTTCTTTACCTTCCTCTTTTTTTAGAGGGAGCTGGGGTTCACACCACCTCTGAGGGACTGGTTTTTCTACTAGAATCACAACCCTAAACCCAGTCTCAGGGCCACTTCCAGCTCCAGCTGCTTCATCTTCTTTTAAAGGAATCTTTCCAAATTCTGTGGATCCTGACTGATTTTTGGTCAGTGGCAGGGACTGGCAAAGATAATTCTCATTAAAATTCAAATCCTTGCACCTTCTGTAACTCTCATTTTTTGGAGAAGTACTGGGAGAATCCCAACCAGAAGTATCTGCAAAGGAAATACTGGAGTTAAATCATACATCAATTCTATCCACCTGACACATTATTTAATTTTTTCACAGGATGTCATTCAAATTACCACCTAGCTTTATGACTTTATTTTATTTATTTATGCATCCTGTATTTTATCTCTTAGGTAACATGACGAAAAAAACCAACATTTGTTTTCTTTCTTTTATTTAGCCTATCCTCTTTCTATAATTACCAGCTCTTATTCCCTCATCAAAATCTACCACAGAGTGTAGTCCCAAAGAATTTATTAGTAAAATCCTTGGGAAAAGGCTTTTCTTTTGTGATAACCTTTTAAAACTAACATGCATATTTGACTTTTTAATTAATTTAGCATGTGGCAATAGAGTCCAAACCTGTGGTTTTTAACCTGTGATTTATTTATAGAGATTTCTCAGGTGAGGAAATTCCCTCTAATAATGTACAGTGGTACCTTCTCTCTGCAACTTACAGTCTTAGAGAATTGTCTAGGGCACTTAGAGGTTAAGTGACTGGCCCAAGGTTACCTAGCCAGTATGTGTCAGAGATGAGACTTAAATTTTGGCTTTGAGAAAAGCTCTCTATCCATCATGCTAAAATATTTTTCAACAGAAAATGTTTACAATTAGGATCCCTTCAGTGACTTTATTTAAAAAAAAATAACTCCCATTTGTTCTAAGAATAGTATCCTTTTTTTTTTCAAATGTGAACTTCTTTAATTTGACTACAAGATAGTTTTTTTCAGAATAATTTAATTTCTTGAAGATTAATCTTTTAACTTTCAATATGCATTATAAATTCAGTAAGACAATGACAGTTTATAGAATTTAAGTATTCCCTTATAAAATGAGACAAGAGTACTTTTATACTAGTTTCAAAATTGCAAATAAAGGACAATGATGTATGAAAGGGATAAAACACCAGAATATACAATAAACATTTAAATTTCTGGGTCTTTAAATTTTCTCTCATCCTTCACTTAATCAAGGCATGTCTTCAAGTTATTATTATCCAATATCTCCCCTCCCTTTCACTGTCTAATTAATAGAGTTATTTATATTCACTTCTCAAACTTTGGGCTTCTACTGGCTTCTACTGAAGGTGCTTACTCCAGTGGTATTCTAACTCCTAAATCTGACAGCTTTTTTCTCAGTCTTCATCATTCTTGACTTTACAAAGTTTCAGATACTGTTAGAGTCCCTTGCCTCACACATAAACTCTTCTGATAATCTTTGTTGGTGATCTCACTCACTCTCATGATTTCATTGAGAAGTGGTCAGAACAGGTCATACCAGACTATCTTCACATTTTGACAGGGTTATTAGACTGACTGACAAGGGGATTATTGTCATTATAGTTTACCTAGATTTCAGCCAAGCATTTGACAAATACCATCATGTCATCTTTGTAGACAAAATGACAAATGCGAGTAAAAACACAAGACAGAAGAAGTATGAATAGATACATGTTTGTCAAAGTTTGTTGGATTTTGTTGGACTATATGCTCAATATGAATCAATATAGCAACCATAAGAGCTACAGCAATTTTAGATTTCATTAAAAGAGTTATAATGTCCAGAGGAAAGGAGATGTTAGTCTGGCTGACCTCTGCCTTGGTCAGATCACACCTGAATTCTGTGCTTAGTTTTTGGACACCACATTTCAGGACTGGCTTCTGGACCTCTCAGCCTGTATACCTTCAAATTCAACCTGAACAAGCCTGAACTCATTATTTCCTTTTCCTCCCCTCCTCTGCCTCTAAAGTCATCAGTCCTTTGATATCTTTGTTAAAGACAGGCCATCTTCTCAGTCATCTGGGTCTATATTGTTGAACCTTCTCTCATCCAAATATCTATGTATGTGTGTATAGACACACACCTTTCCAAAAGTTGCTATATATTGTTGACCCTACCTCCATAACATCTATCATCCTCTCCCTTTTCTTCATTCCCAAATCCATCCTCCTACTTCATAACCTCATCAACTAAATTTTTGCAATAAATTACTAACCAGTCTGCTTATCTCTGGTTCCTACCTTCTCTGGTCTGTTCTACACAAAGCTGTCAAGTCATCTTCTGAAGGCACTTAACTAGGCCATTCTCTTGTCCTACTGCTGCAGTTCAGGGGGCATCACGGCTATGAAACCTTCCTTCCACAACTATTAAGCTTTTTCATGCTCCCTCCCCTCCTCAATATTTCTAGAGCACTTTTATCTCTCTCCCTTACCTCCTTTACTCTAGACCTTCTAACAGTTTACATGTTGTTTACCTTCATTGAAACTAAATTCCTTGAGGCAAAAAACTGTTTGTGTCCCACAGTAAAACAGCAGGCACTTGATATTCACATTATATATAACAGTTGCTTAATGTGTGTTAACTTGAATTAGGAGAATATATACATAATTGGATTTATGCACCTTCATGCAATATAGAAATATATTTATATCTGTATGTTTATAATAAGTATACCTTTAAAAGAAACCAACATATCAATATATTGGGAAATAATTGTCAGGAATACTAGGAAAATCCAGAAAAACTTCATGGAGGTTACACCTGAGAAAGTTTCTGAAGGAAAAGAGAGATTTCAACAAGTGGCCTGAACGAACACATGGAGGTGGCACAGCCGCAGGACAATACACAGAATAACTAATAGAACAGTTTGGTTGAAAAAGAGAGTGAAGAGGAGCAGTATGAATTAAGGCTGGTTAGAGTCCTATTGTCAAGGCCCTTAGAAGCCAGCACTCTATCTCCCAAGTGTCTGCAGGCAAGTGATATTTTCTGCTTAGCTGTTGGAAATCTTTATTTGTTTGTATTTTATCCTATGGCCACCTCATTTTAAAATCTTTAGACTATATAATTGGATGCCCACATGCAAGAAAGTAAGCCTAAAGTTGCCAAGAATGAGCAGAGCAAAGAGCATAATCCATTCTTGTGACTTTTGAGGAGGGGAGACATGTATATGTGTAAAAGTAAGTAATAAGAGCACCCAGTATATACTGAGGCCCTCAGACCGTCCCTAGCAATTTAGGAAAGCAAAGGAGTCTTTGGTTGCTTTCTCTTCCTAGTTCCAAGGCATGTTTCTGACTTCCTGTAGCCTACTCTTTTATCTTCTGTCACCATTTACTGTCATCAACCTATGGCATCTCTCTTCCAAAGTTACAAGGGTAACAGCCTTTAGTAAGCAGATACTTAAGATTTTTAAAAATGAAGTTTACAAAACATTTTCCTCACTTTAATTTTATCTGACACAGGGAATAAATAACCAAAGGTTTCAGATCCAGGAGATGAGACAGACGGAAGTTTGAGAGGCAGAGTGGATGGAGAGATGCCCTTGAATAAGAAAGGCCTGAACTCGAGTCTCACCTCTGATTTTGATATTGACTGTGTGACTATTAACAAATCACTTAACATTTCAGTGCTCTAGTCAACTCTCTGAGATCCTAAGTTTCAGAGAAGGTGCTAACCTGCACTGGTAGAGGGAGTTACCTCCTATCAATGGAATTACAGGTCTATTCTCTATCAGCAAAACAAATTAGGTGACACGCGCTTGTATCACAGGGAGGACATCTGTATAACCTACTAATTAAACTGAAATGGAGCTCATTCTGTTTCCTAAAACTAACCACCATGCAAAGGCTCCAGCGTTTAATAATTGTCCACAATTACCAACAAGACAATTACTAGAGCCAATGTGTCACTTCATATCAAACATATCTATTTCTATTCTCTCTCTTTCCATTGAAGTCTTCCATTCTCCTTCTAATACCTCTCCTTCCCTATGTTCTGCTATTATATTCCTTTTCATCTCCTCTTTTTCTGATTTGGCTCAGGCAAGCCTTCAATGATACTGCTTAGTCCTGTTAGTGGCACTAAGACTTTGTCCACCTTCTTCTATGTATTTGATGATAGAGTCTCTTCCCCACCCCAAGCCCCACTCCTAGATACCACTTTTATTTTTTTATTTTTTAAATTTATTTTTAGTTTTCTTGGAGGCTTTGGATGTAGGAGCTTTGACTTTGTTGTCTTCTTCTAGTTGTATGTTTTGATCTTCTTTGTCACCAAAGAAAGATTGTATGGTCTGACTTTTTTGCACTGTTTGCTCATGTTCCCAGCCAATTACTTGAGTTTTAAACTCTTTGTTAAGGTAAGGTTCTGCTTCCAGTGTGGAGAATGTATTGTCCCAAGCTTCGGGGGTTTTGTGCAGCTGTTTTCAGAGATACTTCTAGGGACCTGTAAATTTTCAGTTCTTCCAAGGTGGTATGATCAAAGGAGAGGTGTTTACTCCTTTCTGAGCCTGTACTATGGTCTATGAGTGATCACAGGCACTCTTTTCTACCTTGGAACTTTGAAGAAGATTCCCTCTCTACCACCAGTACAAGTTCCACCATGCCAGCACTCCTCCTTGGCCCAGGATTGCCACCCAAAACTGTGACCCAGATCCAAGCACGGGCAATGCAAGAGAATCCTGCCTCAGCACCAGCAAAGAGATCCCTGTAATTCCCCTCTGATCAGCCACTTGATTCCCCTCATCTGTGGGCCAAGAGCTCTGGAAGCAGGCATTGCCCTGGGACTGCAACGGGACTGGGGTGGGAAGAAGCTTCCCTTTCACCGCATTCACAAACCTTTCCTACTGACCTTCTAAGTTCTCTTTGGTGTTTGTGGGTTGAGAAGTCTGGAAAACACCAGAACTACCTATGATTCACTTCTCTGAGGCCTGCGTTCCAAGTTAGCTGAGGCCTGGTCTTTGCCTGCACACCCATGATGAATTGCATTCCTTTCCCAGGCAGGCACAACAGACCTTTCCAATCAACCATCCAGGTTGTCTTAGGCTGGAAATTTGTTTCATTCTGTCTTTTTATGGGTTCTGCTGCTTTAGAATTTGTTTAGAGCCATTTTTTACAGGTATTTGGAGGGCTTTGGGGGAGAGCTCAAGCAAGTCACTGCTTTCACTTCTCCATCTTGTCTCTGCTCCCCCACTTTCTTTTTTAAAGAAAACTAACTCTCTATATTATAATCTTACCTTCATTTTGTCCCATTGAAATACTCTCTTTTATTGTTTGATTTGTGGCTGCAGGTTTATGCCTGGCAGATCCTTTGGGGAGACTTTCAGTGGCACACTAATCAAATAAAAAAAATCAACAACAGTTACCAAGCTCATTGTAGAAAGCTGTCTGGACTGTTTTCTGCTGTAAATTGTGAACTTGTCACTTATAAATGAGAGTCTACAGAAAATAAAATGTTTTATATAACATTTTCTTCAAAAGAAAAACCTCATTCTTATACTTTTCAAGCTTTCTCTTCTGTCTTTTGTCTTTAGATGAGATAACACTGGTAAATGTAGTGGTGTATGCTGGAATATACTTTTTCATACAGAAATGGCTTACTTGTAAGTAATGATAAAATTCTAAGTCAGGATATTATTGCTATGATGGTTATAATAATATAGTACATTTAAAATACTATTTTCTACATGCTAACAATATGGGAGAAGAAAATAATGTATGGGGCCAAATGTACTATATATAATCCCCTTACAAATGTGGCAAAGTCAACAGAGCCCTGGCTTGAAGTTAGGAAGATTCATCTTTATGAGTTCAAATAGTTTGCCTCAGTTTCCTTACCTGTAAAATGAACTGGAGAAGGAAGTAGCAAACCACTCCAATACCTTTGCCAAGAAATCCCCAAATGAGGTCACGAAAAGTCAAATATGACTGAAATTACTGAACAACAACAAAGCCTTGGACAGGCTTGTATGTATATATATATATATATATATATGTATATATATACACACATATAAATACATATATAAATGATGCGTATATATGTGTGTATATATATACATATACATATATACACAAATGCATACATGTATACGACATTTATATCTATCTATATCTATCTATCTATTTGTGTGTGTGTGACATTTATAGTAGAATGGCTGAAAAGTTTAGCTTAATCACACCAACCATATCTATTGTACTCAACAATTCATTGTTGATTTTGGAGAATTTAATACAATTCCTGCCTTCTCTAGAGGTCTCCCACACTTGGATTATGTTGTTTTCTCTTCATTTCATTTCCTGGCCTCATGCTTGATATCTAATACATATGATGGCCTCCAATCCTCTTGTGAATCATGACTTTTTGTCTGTCTAATAGTTGGTCTCCATTCCACATTAAACTCCACAGTCCCCACTCAACATTCTACATACCCTAAAAAGCATAAGCATACTCACTGCCCTTTTCTTTTCTTCACACTTCATGCTTATGCCTTTGATTATTTCCAACATAAAGCTGTGAGTTAATAAATTCAACTCTGCCTATTTCATTTACAAGGAATATTCTTGTGTGACCCAGATTTCTGACCCCCTTTTGCTAGAAGACATGGAAAACCATTTGACATTACTCTCATGTTCCTAAAATTCTAGCAATCTATGAGATACCTCCATTTAAATGTTTCTTGAGAACTAACATATCAAAAAGTTATCTTAGCCTGTCATCATGTAAGCTCCCTCCAAACCTTTCTAAACGTCCTTGTCTCTATTAGTGATATCCACATTATCCCAGATTGTCAGGCTTAAAAACTCAGTTATCTCCTTTGCTTTCTATAGTCAAGTAGTCGCTACATACTGCTATATCTTTCTCTAAAATAAACAAGTTATTATTTAACCTTTCCTATTTCCACCATCACTCCAGTTTATTTCAGCACTTTACACTTATTGAAACAACATCTTTTTTTGCCTATAATATACCTCTGCTCCAGTTAATCTACACTGATCATAAAAAGCTTTCCTAAAACACAAAATTTCAAAATATTATTATACTGCATAAGAAACATTAATGCATGATGCAAATCAAATCCCAACTTCTAAAGCTATCATTCAAAGCTTCAATTCTTACTATCTGATTTACAGAAAATAATTTCTAATTCCTATTAGAGGCAATCTGTTACAGCTAACCCTCACTCTTTACCTTCCTTGTAACTATCCTACTTCCTTCTGTCTATCCTCTGTCTTGGAATGTTTGCCTCCCTCCTCTTTGCCAATCAAAATTTGACCCTATCTTTAAGTCCTAATTAAGTCCTAATGAAGGCTTTTCTGACTAATCACAATTTACGCTGCCATTTCCCTCTGTATTGCTCTCAGCAGTCATGCATACAAGTTGTACAGAAATTTAGTAACAGTGGGTCATAAAAATCATCTAATACATGCCTACGTTCTATCTCACCACTTAAAGTTAAGATACTCACGTAGTAGGGAAGCAGGGTTGTATACTAAGTCTTTGTCTAAATTCTCTTACATTACTGGAATTTATCTTAATACCTAGAACAGTATATGGTACTATGGTATTTGTTCACTGAATGATTGAGTAAATGAATGAATGACATTTTGAAATTGGTAAGCTATTAAGGGGTAGAGTGGAAAGTGCATGGCCTAAAAGTTAGAACCACTGGATTCTATTCTTGGTTCTGTAACTAAGCAGTTTGGAGACCATAGGCAAGTTATCTGACTTCTCTGGGGATCAGCCTCCTCATGTGTTAAATGTAAATAGTTGGACTAGATTATTTCTAAGGTCTCTTCCAGCTCTAAAATTCTGGTTCCAATTCCACCTAGGCAATTGCAATGATTAGTAAATAACTAAATCTGAAATGTAAAATTTTAAAGGTAACAATCAATATTGAAGTTTCAAAATAATAGAAGATACCTCTGAATCCCAAGGAGATTCTGAATCTTCTTCCTCTTTCAATCCTAATGCTGACATTGTGTCTATAACATAGAGACAAAAAACCACTAATAATTAGAATATGTCCTACTGAGAACATGAAAACTGTTCAAATATGTCTATTCATAATTGCTTCAGCAAAAATTGCAATTCCAGGAGACAAAAACAGAAGAAGAGGGCAACATTTGGATTTAAGGATTATGGGCAAAGGAGGGTCCTTCAAAGAAAGAAGTTAGGGGATAAGAGGTAATTTTATATAAGACTATATAACAAAATTCTTTTCTAAAATACACTTAATACTCTGGGTGAAAAGAAGAAAGAGAAAGATTTTTTGTATTTAACGTACTTCAGAATTAGGTTAATACACATTAAATTTAATCGGTTTATAATGGCATTTTGCAAAAAGAAAGCTTTCTAAGCATATTCTACAACTTGAGGGGTACCACAGCACAGTGGATATGAAGCCAGTTTTGGAGTTAGGAAGACCTGGATTCGAGTCCCATTTCTGATATATTGACTGTGTGACCATGGGCAAGACAATGAACTTGTTAATGCCCCAGGCTACTTAGTAAAGCTATATATAAGCTGTAGAACAGTTTCCAATCTGCATTGGTAGAAATTTCCTGTTTTCCCAGCAGTTTTTGTCAAAGAGTGGGTTCTTATCCCAGAAGCTGGGGTCTTTGGATTTATCAAATAAGAGATTACTGTAGTCATTGACTACTGTGTCTTACATATTTAACCTATTCCACTGATCCACCACTCTATTTTCTTAGAGTGACACAATTACAAAACACTTTTCACACAAATAAAGTCAGAACTAAATAACTAAATAACATCAGTTGCTCATAGGTAGGCCGAGCTAATACAATAAAAATGACAATTCTGCCTAAGCTAATTTACTTATTCAGTGCCATACCAATCAAACTACCAAAAATTATTTTCTAGAGTTAGAAAAAATAATAACAAGATTCATTTGGAAGAACAAAAGGTCCAGAATATCAAGGGAACTAATGAAAAGAAATGCAGAAGAAGTTGGCCTAGCCATTCCAGATCTTAAATTGTATTATAAAGCAGCAGTCATCAAAACTGCTTGGTACTGGCTAAGAAATAGAGTGGTGGCTCAGTGGAATAGGTTAAACATGCAAGACACAGTAGTCAATGACTATAGTAATCTATAATTTAATAAACCCAAAGACCCCAGCTTCTGGGATAAGAACCCACTCTTTGACAAAAACTGCTAGAAAAACTGGAAAAGAGTATGGCAGAAACTAGGCGTAGATCAAAATCTCACACCATATACCAAAATGAAGTCAAAATGGGTTTGTGATTTAGATATAAAGGCTGATACTATAAGCAAACTGGGAGAGCAAGGAATAGTTTACCTATCAGATTTATGGAGAACAGAAGAATTCATGACCAAACAGGAGATAGAGGACATTAGAAAAAGCAAAATGGATAACTTTGATTACATTAAATTCAAAAGATTTTGTACAAACAAAGCCAATGCAACCAAGATTAGAAGGAAAGTAGAAAATTGGGAAAGAATTTTTATAACCAGTCTCTCTGATAAGGGCCTCATTTCTAATATATATACAGAATTAAGTCAAATTTATAAGAATACAAGTCATTCCACAATTGATAAATGGCCAAAGGATATGAACAGGCAGTTCTCAGATGAAGAAACTAAAGCCATCTGTAAGTCATATGAAAAAATGCTCTAAATCACTATTGATTAGAGAAATGCAAATCAAAACAACTCTGAGGTACCACATCACACATACCAGATTGGCCAACATGACAAAACAGGAGAATGATAAATGTTGGAGAAGATGTGGGAAAATTGGAACATTAATGCATTGTTGGTGGAGTTGTGAAATGATCCAACCATTTTGGAGAGCAATTTGGAACCATGCCCAAAAGGCTACAAAAATGCACATACCCTTTGACCCAGCAATAGCACTTCTAAGGCTATATCCCCAGAGAGATCATACAAATGGGAAACGGACCCACATGTACAAAAATATTTATAGCAGCTCTTTTTGTGGTGGCAAAGAATTGGAAATTGAGAGGATGCCCATCAATTGAGGAATGGTTGAACAAGTTGTGGTATGTGAATGTAATGGAATACTATTGTGCTATAAGAAATGGTGAACAGGCTGACTTCAGAAAAACCTGGAAAGGCTTGTATGGTCTGATGCTGAATGAAGTGAGCAGAACCAGGAGAACTTTGTACACAGCAACAGCCACATTGTGCAATGACTAATATTGATAGACTTAACCCCTCTCAACAATACAAGGATCTAAGACATCTCCAAAGGCCTCACGATGGAAAATGCTATCCACATCCAAAGAAAGAACTATGGAGTTTGAATGCAGATTGAAGCATACTATTTGCTATTCTTTTTCTTCTGTTGTGTTTTATTTTCTCTTTCTGGTGGTTCCTCCTATTGGTTCTAATTCTTGCCTACAATATCACTAATGTGAAAATATGTTTAATAGGAATATATATGTATAGCCTATATCAGACTGCGTGCCATGTTGGGGAAGAAGGTGAGGAGGGAGGGGGAGAAAAATTTAAAACTCAAAGCTTATGGAAGTGATTGTTGATAATTCAAAATAAATTAATTAAAAATTAAAAAGAAGGAAATTTCTTCAACGAGAATTTCCTGCAATGATGAAATCCTGGGTCCTATCAACAATAACTTGCCTTTTCTAACAGCACGACTCTCTGATGTACGGTGAGCCTGAACTTCATTGGGAAGAGTTGGAGTTTCAGGAAATGTTTGTTTTCTAGTACCACTGTCAACTGATACAGCTTCTTCCTTTTCTTCCTCCTCTGATTCTGTTGATTCTTCCTATAATTAATGAGAATGAAATGTACAATGTCCTACAAAAATTTTCTTTAATCTATTGCTAGCACGAATGATACAAACCTAACACAATAGAACTGCCAGATGTTGATGGACCTAACAATCAAATCATGCAAAGAAGTAGATTTTTCCAATCACTTATTTTAGATATTTAACTTATAGGAAAATTCTTCTCCATAAGTAGAAATATTAATGTACAGCATTATATATGCTAATGAATGTTTTAATTCTTCCTTCAACAGATTCAAGTACTAGGACCTAAGAAAAATAATAGAATAAACAATTCTTATGCTGAAGTACTAATCTAACAGGGAAGATAAGATACTCTCTGATTGGAGGGAAGAACCATGAACTCCAAAACCTCCACTGAAGGAGAAAGCCCAGCACAGACATCTCCTCATTTCTCACCACAACTTTGGGACTACTCCACCAGGCCCTAGGAATCTTATGATTGGGGAAACCTCATCATCATGCAAGATTCCATCAGCTTTGGTACTCCACCTAACCACTCCTCACTGCCCGCATGACTGGAGGAATTTCAAAGCCTCCGATGAAGGAGAGGGCTTGGTAGAGACATCTCTTCATATCTCATTTTGTTGCACTATTGTGAAGTTCTCTAATTTCTTCCCCATGTCCCAGCAGAAGGCAGTTTTCCCTGACCCCCAAATTATTGGTTTCCTTTGATATTTTGTTTTGTCTTCTTCCATTAGATCGTAAGTTCCATGAAGACCAGTACTCTCTTTCTTTTTTATTTTTATATCTCTGGCACTTAGCACACTGCCTGGTATATAACTGGTAGTTAATCAATGTTTACTGAGACATAAATATGAGAGAAAGCAGAATCTGTGAAATCTATTCGAGAATTACAAAGAGTTTAGTAGGACCAGTGAAAGCTTTATATAGGTGGTATTGTTTGATTTGGGCCTTGAAAGATAGCTAGAATTTCAGATGGCAAAAAAGAGGGCAAGGAAGATATTCCAAACACAGTGAACATTGTAAGCAAATTCAATGAAGGAGGAAAAGATCATGGTACATTTAGGAAATGATGGGTAATCTAATTTGACCTAAATAGAGATATGTGAAGAGGAAATATGTTTAACTTTAATTTCATTTAAATGATGAATATTCAAATACTTCATACAGATTGGTTAATAACATTGTTGGAGCTTTTATACTGACTTTTTTAGTAGCTATGAGAAATTAAAGTTATTTGTGTATGTCTTAAATCCATAATTAAATTATACAGTACATGATGGCTAGAACTGAGTCTTCTTGGTTTCTGAATTCCTTCTAACAAAATGCCTTGCAAATAATAAATATTTTATAAATGTGCAATAAATTGCTGAACTTAATTATTAAAATTTGAGATTATTATGACTGCTATTAAAATATAAAGGAGAAATTGGAAATGAAATTTTGGAATTTAAGATTATGGCTTTTTTTTGTCCCACTTACATATGAGATCAAAATACAATGTGAGATAACAACATATACTGAATGGAACAGACATGAAAGTTTTGGAGATTAGATGTCTTTAAAAAAGGTTAGAAGATGTAGGAGTATAATAAGATTATGATTCAATTTCTGATTTGCATTCCTCTGTTCTACATTAATTATTAACTTACAGAATCATCTGAAGAACAAAAGAGAGGTAAACTTAAAATTGGTCTCAAATAAAAAGGAAATTCCATTTCATGGTTTTACAGTTCTTAAGGTTGACATTACAAAGGCCTGCTGAATATGTTCTGAAATCACTCTTTTTCAGTGTTTTAAAAATAGAATGTTAAGGATGGTACATAGGCATTCTCAATAAGATCAAATATACATATTACTTGAATCTTTCAAAGCTCCTTCTCTTTTTATGATTCAATTATTACTAGATGCTTTACTTTGGTTATAATCAACCAAAAATTCCACTTTCATTCATTTTATACACTTATGTATAATATGTGGTAGATACTTAGTTTTTTAATTAATGAAAATAAAGTTATTATTGCCTAAAATATTTTTCACATATTCTTCTTGTTCTAATTCATCTATAAGAACAGAACAACTAAGTTTCAGAACTTTAAAATTATGGGGTTGAATAGACTAGTTTAGATGTAAAGTCCATTCTAAATCTAAATCTTGCCCTTCTAAGAAAAATCGTTTGTTAACCAAACAAAATATTATGTTATTTTTTACCTTAAGAGCAGTGGCATATAAGTTTGCACCTAAGTTTCCATAAATATCCATTATAATTGACACAAGAAATTCTGTAGGAGTGTATGTTACTTGTTTTTCTTCACTCATTTTACATTTAGCTTCATTTCTACCATATTTAATAGTATGAAGAGAGATTCTGTTGATTACTCAAACCTTCTTTTTCCTTTATATTTTCAAAATCTTCTTCATCTTAACTTTCCTCTGCATTCTCTAAATCTACATATTCTGATTATTCCTCTCCATCTATAGCATCCTGGCCACCTTAACTGAAATCCTCCTCTGCCAATTCATCTTCATAATCTTCTAATTGTCCCTTCTCTTGGATGCTTTCTAATCCTTTTTCTTCCTTATAGCTCCCTCATGAATTGTCTGGACCCATCAATGTTTCATCTTCAATATGTAAATTTCCCTGAGTTTTCTTTTGATGTGACTGTTGAAGACTTCCATTTCTAGAATCCTTGCCATCTTCATGCAGTGGCAATGAGTATGAGAGGAAAGGACATAAGATAAACAAATACGCAAAGAAAGATAGGAACCATAGCCAATATAATTACCTTATTAATGCCCAGAAGAGTAGACATCATCTGGGAGGACCTTGAAAAAGAGCCAAGTGAGGGACGGACAGGTTGAGGCAAACATTGGGCTTGGGATGAAGGCTTAGGAAGGGAATTTGTCTTATCTTCTTTTTCGCTATGTGATTGATTGTGCCCAAGAAAAGTTCTATATTCTGCATTGACAGTGCTACTCTTTTTCTCTATTGTATTAAAAACAAATAAAGAGTACATGAGCAAATCTATCATTTCAAGGCAATAAATAACAATATAAGGGTGGAAAGTCCTCAGATAGCTTACTGTTTTTCCTTATTTGCTGAGAAGCATTTATTATTTTGGTTAAGTTTGACTTGGGGAGTTTCTGCCAAAAAAATTTAAAAAAGAATAATGAGTTTCAATTCCTTTATAATACTAACATTTAATAATCCACATTTCTCTGAGGATTACCATTGTAATGTATTTAATCAGATCATTATGTAGAAAATAAAATTTTCTGGACTATTTTGTTCACCAAAAACTGATATACCAAGTAATGTAATTTTATTCTTCAATGCTTTATCATACCATTGAAAAATACTAGGTTTTAGAAATTAGTATTTCAATGTATCATTCAAATCACTACTTATAAAAAAGAAAGATAAAGTCTCTTAGTCATTAGTTTGAGTTTCTTTATGTGTTTTGCTTGGTAATAATTACTCTGAATTACTTCTTTTCTTAAAACTAAAGGGAGGAAGAGATACCTAACAGTCTCAAGACTGGGGAAACTGGGGAAATGTTGATGTCAGGCTCACTTTTTCTAGGTTTGGTTGTTGGGTTCACTCATTACACTTGATACCTTCAGTAGGAAGAAAGCAAAGGTTCCTGCTAGCAAGAGGCCACTAAACTGACAAAAATACAGACTATAAGAAGCTCAGTTCACACAAGATCTTGAGTGCCTTCATTGCACTGCTGAGAAAAAGCTGAGATCTTGAGTTCAGGTGTCACATCTTCATCTAAGGACTAGAACTCCTGAATATGTACTCAACATCAACTACAAACTATGTCATATTGTTTGACCTTTTTTGTGTTGTATGCATGCACTTGGAAGGACTGGCCTTTACCTTCTAGAAACTATCTGGATCTAAAAAAAGTTGTGAAAATGCAGTGTAATGGTGGATATTTTATTATATACTGTTTATTGCTTTTGAGTTAATGCCAAGAATCAAGTATTATATAAACCTGACCAAAAAAAAACCACACCTAAAACATAGTTTCTTTACATTTTTTATGTATCATAAGCCTCTTTGGCAGTCTAGTAAAACCTATGGACCACTATTCAAAGAAATGTGTCTAAGTACATGAAATAAAATACATAAGTTTAAATAGGAAATCAAGTGAAAATTAGAAAATCATGCAACCGTTCTTAGTGGGACTATTACAAATTTGTGTTATATGACCTCAAATGGATCTTTACTGCTTCAAGGCAAATCCTACCATTCCTCCCTTATCAATTCACTATCCCACTCTCCACAGCTACTGTTCCATACATTTTCATCCCCTCTCAAACCTTCTATGGTTCCCTTTTCCCTCATACTTTCAGCAGAGAAATTTGCTTCATATTTTGCAGAAAAAATGGAGGCCATTGGACATGAGCTCCCTCTTCTCCCTTTTTCTACATCTCCTATCACTCAGGTGCCTTCTGCCACCGTCTCCTTCATCCCTATGTCACATGATAAAGTGGCCTTACTCCTCACCAGGGCTGAGCCCTCTACTTTTTCAGGTGATCCCGTCCCATCCCATCTCCTCCAACAGATCTGCCACCTCTCTCATACCAATTCTGACATTTATTTTTAAACTCAGCCATCAACTATGTCATTCCCTATTGCCTACAAACATGTCCATGTCTCTCACCTCCTGAAAAAATCCTCACTAGATCCTTCCATCCCTGCTATCATCTCTCTTCTATCCTTTGTAGTGCCATAAGTCATTGCCACCACATCATACTGCCTCCTTACTACAAGCTGCCAGAAGTACATACATCATGTACCAAGTAACAAATATAATCAAAACAGACTTTTCAAGAACTTCTTATGACAAGGGATCATGGGGTCAGCTAGGTAGCACAGTGGACTTTTTGCCTCAGGTTCCTCATCTGTAAAATGAGGATAATAGCAGTACTTACCTCTCAGGGTCGTTGTGTGAATCAAATAAGATAATAATTGTAAAGCACATAGCACAGTGTCTGACTTGGTTGTATATAAATGTTAGTTATTATTATTATTAATTTCACACAGCCCATTATTATTGCTGCCTAAATAACATAAAAAATGTCAATTCCTGCAACTCATATTTTTATGTGTAAGTTACTCTACTAGAGTCAATGAGAAATAAAAAGAGATATTCCATCCCTAAAGAGCTATGACATATTTATACCAATCACTATAATATTAAACAGTGTGATAAATCAGAGAAATGTGATGCAACTTAAGGTACATCAAAAGGACATCAAAAGAGAGAGGGCTTACTTCCATATAGGAAGGGAGAAAGAAATGGAAGAAGGGAAAATTTCATAAAATAAGTAGCATTTGACCTAGGCCTTAATACTTAATTTATGATTTAAGTGTCCAAAGATAAATGGTAGAGAAAGACATTTCAGGAGGAAGGATTAACTATATGAGTAAAGTCTTACAGGTTGGAAAGTACAAGGCATAGTCAGAGACGAGTAAGTAGCAAAATTTCTATGGTGCTTAGGTTTTTTTTAGGCAAGCAGTAGAAGGTAAGATTTTAGATTAATACTTCATACTGAATACTACAATAAACTTTAATTATATTGTTTATTTAAATATTTGAAATTAAGAGCTGTAATAAATGGAATAAACTTTTTATCAACTGCAGAGGATACTTTTTATCAAACAGAAGAATTATTAGAGACAAAATCAATAAGTTTGATTATAGAGAGAGATCTGTCCAATAAAAAAAGTAATGTTTCCAAAATTAAAAGTTTGGAAAAATATTTTTAAAAGTACATAAATTAAGTTGAACAATAACAATATGTAATATATACAGTCAATCCTCAACATTCAGGTGGTTTAACTTTTGCAACTTGAAGCATTGGTGTAATATAATTAGTAGCCTAATTTTCATTTTCACGATGACAACCCCCTTACACAGTAGAGGAAAAAACTGAGAGGCACAATGCTGCAAGTTTGTGGAGTAGTTGGTATCTGCTAGGCGCTTCACTGATCTTGTTCACCCTACCTTTGTAGATTAAAGATCTTCCCAAACATTTGTTACCATAGCTTCATTGTTTGCCTTTAAAACTCATGTTTTGGGGCAGCTAGGTGGCGCAGTGGATAGAGCACTGGCCCTGAAGTCAGGAGGACCCGAGTTCAAATTCGACCTCAGACCAAACATTTGACATTTACTAGCAGTGTGATCCTGGGCAAGTCACTTAACCCCAATTGCCTAAAAACTTTAAAAAAAAAAGAAAGAAAGAAAACCTCAAGTTTTGTGTTAGAATTATGCTAACACATCTCTTAGTGTATTCTGAACAAAAATGTTATATAAATATTTCTCATTATCACATATAATCTTTAAGAAAGTAGATTAGGAAACATAGAAATGATTGTTAAAGGCAGAAATTCTAAACACAACCTTTACAAATCATACCACAATAAAATTGTAAAAAAAAACTGGGATCATAAGATTATATAGCTTAGAAAAGATACCAATTAAGCTCTCAGAATATATCAAACAGTGTTAAGTGCTGGGAACACAAATAGAAGCAAATGGAAAGGCAGCCCCTCCCCTTTAAGAGTTTAAATTCTAATGATAAGACAATACATAAAAGGAAGCTGGAAAAGGGGCAGAGGGAAGATTGGGGGCAGGATAGCAGAAAATTAGTCTAACGAGTAAGGGGCTGAGCTATTAGAAATGGTGTTTTCAGCAATCTCTAGTGAAAGATTAAAGTTTTTGGTGCTCATGGGAACCTAATCCCCTATTTCCCATATGTTCAGTGAATACATACTTAAATATTTGACTTCTGTGCCATTTTCTAGGAATGTGACCTCCACAAAAACTGAGGATTGACTGTAACTGATACATATCTCTAAATCTAGTAAAATATCTCCAAATGAAGCAATGACTGAATAAAAAACATTAATAACTTCATGAAAAATGCTTCTATATCCCAATAATCAGGGACATATAAATCAACACATTTATTATATCAACTAGAATGTCAAAAATTGCAAAAATTATGAATTCATGGAGTTGTGGGAAATTCTAATACACCACTAGTGGGACTGTACATTAGTGCAAACATTTTTGAGAACAACATATAAAAGTCATAAAACTGATTTTCATTGCTATGATTCCATTGCCATGAACTCATCCTAAAAAGAGCACAGGAAGGAAAAAAGGACCCAGCTGAACAAAAATATTTATAGCTGCTCTATCTGTAAGAGCTAAAAAATTGGAAGTAATCTCTATTCCTAACATTTGGAGAACTGTATATTATGTAATGGATCATAGATTTAGAGCTAGACGGGCCCTTAAATACCATCCAGGACACAAGGACTTTTCCAAGGTCATATATTTAAGAGTGGCATTCATGTGATGTGAACCCAGGTTCTCTGACTCCAAATCTAATATTCTTTCCAATGTACAGATAAATACAAAGCTTACAAGGAAATATGGAAAAAGATACAGAGATATCAGCAGAAAGCAAATTTTACATACATTGATTTTACCTAGTTTTTCAGTAAAAACAAAAACAAAAACAAAAACAAAAAAAAAACAAAAAACAAAGGTAGAGGTGGGGTAACTTGAAAGAAACTTAAAGCCTGACACAGAACAGGAGATTTTTTTGCTTTGAACTCATGTGACTCCTCATGCATCGGACTCATTTGATGTTAAATACTAAGGATATTGTTTAAAATTATACTTTTTGTTTGTTTCTGTTGATGGTTATTAAGTTTACAATAAAAACTTTTTTACAAAGTAAAGTACCCACCAAACTGAAATTTAAGACTAGAAAAAATTGCATAAAGAAACTTTACCTTAGTACTAAAATCTAATTCCTCTTCATCTGTGGTTGGCCAGGAATCATCAGCCCCAGGTTTGTCAGACAGTCTTTAAAAAAAAAAAAAGTAGTTTTATTTCCAGAAGAGAATCATCACAAAGGCCTTTTAGTTGTCAGGTGCTTTAACACCAAATGATACATTACAAAGGATGACTTAAAAGATCAGGGTTATGTAAATTATTCCTACTCCAAGATTCAACTTGCCAGAGAAGAAAATACTGTAGTAGAAGCTATCAGTGGGTTTATCCTCCCACTTCCTATTTTTATACTCCTCTAAAGCTGACAAATGAACACAATGGGACATTATAAATCACACAGTCACCGAAAACCTGCAATGTATTTGGAGCATATCATTATTCTCTGTGCCTTCCTTAACCAGTTTCTGAGGAAAACTTTCACAGTTAGTCTCTCATTTTTCTTGAAATTACCTTCCCCAGATTTCAACTCTAGATATGAGTTGTATTTATTGTTGTTTGATCGTTTCAGTTGTCTTTGACTCCTCGTGACCTTACCTGGAGTTTTCTTAGCAAAAGTACTGGGGTGGTTTGCCATTTCCCCCCCTAGCACATTTTATAGATGAGGAAACTGAGGCAAACAGGACTAAGTGACTTGCTCAGGATCTCCCAGCTAGCAAGAATTTGTGACCAGGTTTGACCTCATGAACATGAGTCTTCCTGATTCCAAATCCAGTGCTCGATCCACTGTGCTGCCTAGGTGACCTCTAGATACATTAGTAGGTCATATATTTCAATCTCAGAAAGGTATTTATTACAAGGGCAACAATTCCTAGATGTAATATAATCACTGATGAATCTAGTCAGATAATATGATAGAATGGAATAGAAATCATTTTCAGAGTAAATTAGAATATTCATGATGCCTTTTTGGTTTGGAATGTCCATCTACCTATATAATACTAATCAATGTGAAACATTTCCTTCAGGACTTAATTTAAGACTTATCTCCTTACAGAAGACTTACATGAATTTCAGAATCAGAAAAATCAATGCAGGTCACTAAAAATTTTTACCTGATTTCCCATACATACAAAAAGTAAAATTATCAGTCTTTATCTTTCTTGTGGGTAATACTTATATACAAAGGTTGTGGTAATCTGCTTTCAGGGAGTCTCAACTCCAGAATTATCACTCTATTCACCTCTTGGTGGAAGAGGGAGGATTAAAGGATGACAGGGTGTATGACTTGTGATTTCATTGGTGCAGGGAACTTCCAGAAAGAAAATAATGCAGATTGGCAACTGTTCTGTCAGAGAGTTGCCTGGGAACACTGAAGGATTTAATGACTCCCTTAGGGTCACAAAACAAGTATTTGACAAAAGGGGAACTTGACCCAAACCCACTCCCTATCCAGTGCCCCTAAGGCCCTTCTTTTCTCAGCTCCTTAGGATTTGTTAATACTGTGAGAGATGATCTCTCAGAAGTGAAGCCTCCTCAAAGGGTTAATAGTTTTTGTTAATCTCACAAAGGGCAGCAATTTGGATATCACTGCTCATTTGGAGAGAGATAAGGTCAGAAGCCAGATAGTAAGAAGAGTGGGAGGAGAGAAATTGGAGGCACCTGTTGTAGATGGCCTTCTAATTGTATTGTTGAAACACACTCCCTTCTGACCTTGTCAAAACCCCCTTGGGCCCTGTTTTTGAGCAAGTAGCAGAGGGAGTGGAATGGCTCTACCCCCCCAACCTAAACTACAGAACTTCCCACCTTTTCTTGTCTCTGGGCAAACTTGTGTACTCTGTTGCTGGAGCAGATTTCCGTGAATAGATTGTGCCCCCTGAAGTCCAGCCAATAGGATAAAGGGAAGGGAGTTTGGAAGGAGGAACTTGCCTTAGGGTATAATTAAGCCTTGCTTTCTGTAACCAACTTGTACTTGCACTTGTCCTCCCTGGCCGGCAACATTAGGACGACCAGGGGCGGTACCCTTTCTCATGAGAAAGTAATAAACTCCTTTCTGCTTTTAAGGTAACTAAGTCTTTGTTTTGGATTTGAGTAGTGGTCCCACACAATACCAAGATACCTTTTTTTTTTTTTAAAAAGCTCTTCTTTATTCTTTGATAGGCATGTCCAATTTCTCTTTCCTTCTCCCTAAACTTGCCGTTTTATTTTATTTATTTGGTCTTGTCTTTTTACATCCTTCTCCTTCTACCTCTCCTTCAGTTTCATTCCATCTCCTCCTCCTTCCCATAACCATCACATTGTCTTCTTCCATGTATCCTCCTCTATCTCTCCAAATCCTTCTCTTCTTCTCACTTTTTTTCCTCCTTCAGATGCAGTCTTTTTCCTTCAACTCAAGTCACTTCAGTTTCTCAGAGTTTTCTGAATTTCTTTATATTAGTAACTTCTAATCTCTGACCTGTGAAAGTCAGGTAAATGTTATATTTCCACAGAGAAAGCGAATAATGCAGAGATTTAAAGAACAATTCCAGGAAGTAGTACACTGTAGGTGGGCGAGGGCTTAACCAATAAGAAATAAGTTGATGGCTCTAAAAAGACTCCAAATTCAAGATAAGGGTCGAGCCAGCTCAGACCAGTTAGGGTCAACCTGAGGACATCTGAAAAATGTTAGTGTGCCTGCTTAATGAACTTCATTACTATTATCTGACACACCCTGCATAAAATTAGAGCCTCATTAACAAGTCATGGGATGTATGACCAAGGGAGGGGGAACATACTTGAGCATATCAAGGGGAAACATGTAAGGAGGGGTGTAACCTGGGAAGGTATGGACAAATCTGGGCCTGGGAGGTTTTGTGCCGAATTTCAATGTATAAAAGTATGCTTGCCCTTGCACTCAGGGCCCATTCCTCCCTAAGGGGGTGGAGCCTGCTTCTGGCCAGAAATGTCTAATCCTCTGGACTTCCTCTGTAATAAACTTTCTTGATACTAAATTTTAGGTGTCAAGCATATTTCTAACAGACCTTTTTCAAAATTCTAAAAGATTCTAAATCATCTTCTCAATTCCTTCTCCTTCTTGAGTTCAGGTCCTGCTCCTGCTCCCTTTTTCACACAATCTCCTTTGGACAAAAGAAGGAAGAAAGGCTCCAAATATTCAGCTTCTCTGTGTCACATAAGTCTTCCCACCAACCTCCTGACACACTCACACTCCTCCCCTTTATACTTCCTTCTACTGGATCATCTGAAGAGTGGAAAGGCTTTTTCTCCAACCTTTTCACCTTCTTCTATATTAAGACCAACTTTTATCACTGGCAGCAACACAAAATACAAAATCTGTAGGTGACTGCAAAGGAATCTGTGCTGTATGAATATGAGCTCACTTTAAGTGAGATATTTAATCCTTAGTCATTCCAGTTGGTGAGCTTTACAGCTAATGCATTGCCATGTCTCCCTAGAAGCTCCACAGAAATGATGTCCTTTTAACAGGCTTGCCACCTCTTCTCAAGATATAATGCTAGCTTACCTAGATGCCTCAAACTGGGAACTAGAATATTCCTGCCAAGGTCTCAATGTGAGAAACAGCTTTCTACTACTGTTGTCCACAACAGTTCTGAGCAGAAACCACTTACCAGCCACTTCTGATTTCATTCTATTGCTTTTTTTCTGTCTTGCTGAGAAATATCCAACACTACTTCCTGCATTGACTTAGGACCCTGTCCCCAGTGACTAATCCCCAAGCCCATGTTGGTAACTCCTTGATATGATAATCCCTGAGCACCTAGATACATTTCCTCAATTAGAAGAAGATATATATTTGCACTAGAGATGTGTGTCAAAAGGCTTATTAGGAATCCATTCCAGGTAACTAATACATATTGTGGCTATATGGAAGAACACAGCTTGTTCGTTCTTTATTCATCTAATTACTACTTATTAATAGATCTCTTAGGGGATTATGGATAAGGAATAGGCCTGGGAGTACAAATATACTGGATTCAAGTTCTCCCTTAGTCACATACTGGTTTTGTGAGCCTAAGCAAGTCACTTAATCCCTCAGCATTCCCAGGCAACTCTCTAACACACAACAGTTGCCAATCTGATTAATAAATAAATATACAAGTTGTTTAATAAAAATAATTCTATGCAAGATAATGAAGTAAACACATGGGTTAATATGATGAGGGGAATTAGTTAAATTGAAGATGTGTTATTTTTTGGAGCATGAGAATCTGCTTTGCCTTGGATAGAAACACTTATTAGAGAATGTACCATGTGGATTAATTAATTAAAAGAAATATTAACCTGCTCCAAAGCCTACCTGCTTATAGATTCCTCTAGGGAACTTTCTTCCACTCCTGGAGAAAGAAGTAAAATATGTTTGAAAGATTACCAATACATGACATTAATATTAAAAGAATTTATGAAGCTTTGCTACAACATGATTTTTTGGGAAACAACAAAGATCTGTGATACAAATACAATTATGCTAGAGATAAGTGTCTTAAGTATCAAGGCTCTGAGGGTAGAAAGAAGTCTTCTTTAAGCCTCAGATATCTGTCAGTGATTTGTTCACACTGGCCATTTCACTAGCAGGCTCTTTCACACTGACAGAGCATAACATCACTAGCAGATATCACAGACTGAAGGAATGAGCTAACATGACAGGATTAATCTGGGTTTTTTATGTACGTAAATTGAGAAAGACTATATTTGTTTCACCTTTCTTACCACACACCACACAGATGGAATGTTTGGACCTATGTTGTGCATGACACATCATAACGTGACTCATCCATGCTGTAAGTCAGGGCAGATCCAGAGACTGCTCTGTTTTAGTATGACATGACATATTTCTAGCTCTTCTCCATGGGCAAGAGATCCAGAAATAATGTACCTTGAATAGACCTCTACAGTCTCTAGAAGGAAGGGGCTGATGAGTTGCAAACCAATATATTTTCTCTTTTCAAGTCTTCCCAGGGAGGGATGTTAAAAACAAAAACAAAAAGCTTATTATGTACAATGTACATCTGTTATTTCTTCTGACCTTCTCCCCCAAAATATAGTCTCAAGATAGTCAAATGGGCAGTGAAAGAAGCACTCCTTTTTTACTATCAACCACTAGTCTAAGGGAAGCAATTGAGAAGTGACTATTTGCCCATTTCACTGGGTGCATTCTTTTATTATTTGATTCACAACCATTCTCCAAACTTTACTTTCTCCAATTCATCTAACAAGATACTGCCAGATTTCTCCCAAACTAGATATGTTCAATGAGATGAGATTTCATCTCTATGGAACTCATAGTGAGAAGAATTACAGGCAATTTCTCTGCAAATTATAGTATTAGTGAGTTAGTAACCTGAGGCAGTGAAAGGTTAAGCAACCTGTGTTAGAGTCAACCAGCTAGTAGCTATCAGAAGTGGGTTTTAAACAACCAAGACTTCTCACTATAAAGGCCAGCTCACTATTCAGTCTTTCCAAATGGCTAAGACCTGCAAGAGTGCTCACTTGTCTACACAAACCTTGAAATTTAGGCTTACGGCTACATCCTGATGAATTTTAGAATAAGACTTCTGTATAGAGCATAGTATATACTGAGTACTTAGTAACTATTTTATGAGTGACAAATATGACTCTTATATTGTTTTTCCCCATTAAGATGTAACTAAGCCAGAAACGTTGTGCCATATTGTGCAGGATAAAATGGTATTCCTAGACTTTCCCAAAGAGTAGAGGGCCAGAAGAAACAAGTTAAATTCATACAGAAGAAAGTCTCTAGCTCTCCTCCCTAGTTAAATATGATCAAGAAAGATTACACTGTGGTAGTTTAAAAAGCATAAAAGCTCTAATCCCCTCAAAGCTGGAGAGTTGGCACATTGTCTCCAGGCTTATTTCATACCATAGCCATGATTCAAAGAGGCACTTATGTTATGGAGCAAGGTAAAATTTATATGATAAAGAAAAGGAGAAGAATCATGTTTTGTGGGCTCAGACATAACTACCTCTCCAGAGCCTCTCGTGGGACAGGATCTCAAGCAACTTAAGTCTCATGGTTTAGACTCCCATTCTTTTTTTTTTTTAACAATTAGAACGCACTGAACCTACATTATATAATGACTGTGGCAAAACCTCAGTATAGTTAGCAATTACATGGTCACACTTAAAATTGTTAAAATAAAGATCAGAGTAGTAGAAAGTTGATATTCCTTCCCTTTTTGTGGCACAAAAGCAATTAACTTGAACTAGACATATAGACAAAGTAAGATAAACTACAAAACTATTTGATTAGTTTATCTTTTTATATATATCATGGAGTGGAATTATAATAGTAATATGATATATAATCAATATAATATCTATATAAACATGAATAGAACTCAATCCAATAATGAAAATATCAAAGAAATTACCATTACTAAGTGGTTTTTAAAGTAGAAATTTTAAACAAAGATATTTATATTTTAAATAAAATGTTGAAATTCAAGCTAATTATTAAAAAATAATAGAAATGCTAAATAGATTATACTACTACATTTTTTCCTGAAATCATCTCTTAATTATTCTTAACAAAATGTTCAGAACTTACCAAGTCAAAAAACTGAATACTGCTTCCTAATGTTATGCCACAAAGAAAATATCAGTATAAAGGATTCTATCCTATTTTGTTCTATTTAATGTTTAGACTAAACAAAAATAGTAAAAGCAACTAGATAAATAAAATCTAAATAAATATTTATTATTTAAATAGTAAAATAAAATTTAATAAATAAAATTTAAATTAGAGTGACAACTAAAGTAGTTTAATTATTATTTAAGTAAACATTTTTATTTTGTTATTTCATAGAATACCTTTTCCTGAAATCCTTGTTGCTGATGTCTGCACTTGAGATTTTTGTATTTCTATATCTGTTTAGGAATAGGCATGAAAGGGATAGATGAAACAATGAAATCAGAAAAAAAATATGAAGAAAAGCAGCTTTATTCTAAAAGGAATGTAGGAACAGTGAGTACAATCTATTTGGTCTACTAATTATGAAAGTACTTAAAGCAGAAAAAAAAGATATTATTAAAACCTCAATCAAAAAGAGTCAACTGATTTTTTCTCACTACCTGTACCTTGCTTCCTCATTTGAAAAGTTTATGTACTAGTCTGCCAAGTGGAATGCCTCTTTAAAGACACATAATCACCATTCATATAATTATTCCAGTACTGATGAAATGAGGATACTTTCAATCTTGTTCTTTATCTAATAGTACAATACTAAATACACTGCTTACTTATTAAATGCAGTTGTACAAAGAAAGTCATTCTTGCCAGAAGAGGGCAAAAAGTAAAAAGCAATTTACCCAACCAATACAAATAAGATGACCTCTCTTCCCTCTCATGACCATCATGAATGTGAATATTAATAATTTTAAGAGAATTTATCTTTGATAGAAAAATATAAATTATTTGTCTCACATGTTTTCCCATTCCATGAGGAATGAACTGTTTTTTCTAATTAAATACATGTAAATAATGAGTTGCCATAAATACCATTTATAAATTACAATTATAAAAAGATTAAATTAAAATAAAATTCATTTCACTCTAAAACTATGCTGAATAAAATTTAATTTCTAGAGAATTTATGACATTCATTAGCACTTTAAAAAAGTTATTATGGATATAAATTATCATTGTAATATGTATATATAGGAAGTTAAGGTTTCAGCTTAACCAACTACAATATAGGTCACTTTGGCTATGAACTTTGATGACAACTGACAACATTTTTATAATTGTCTTCTCCACCCCACCCCTCAAATATGACATTCCTTTGAATTGCCTTGAATACCCAAAATTGGTTGTGTAGGCTTTTCATATTCACTGATGAACTGAACAGTTCTCCACTTAATTTTGGCAGAAAGACATAGCTTAAATCCCCGCCCTCCAAATCTTACAAAAATGATGTAGTTTTAAAAACATACAAGTAGTACATTTTGAAATATTAACTATCACATAATAAGCAATCACTGCTTATTATGTCAAATTAAAGAATGATTTCATAGAATCATATAATTTAGAACCAGAACTCTTAGAAATCATCTAAATGAGTCCCTTAATTTTAGAGATGAATAAAGAAGGCTTAGAGATTAAATGATATTCCCAAGAAATTCCAAGAAATTCTAACTCCAAAACTAGTCTTTCCTGCTATAAAATGATGTCTCTTTAAAAAAAAATTTAAATCTATTAGAAGTACATATCCTTCACAACTACTGAAGCAAACCTACTGTTAACAATGAATTTTCCCAAATGATGTAGTTGGACTGGATTACCTCTAAGATAATTTCCAATTCGAAGTATCTATAACTGTATTCTAATAATTTTTCATTAAAGGGAAAATGTTACTTTTAAAAAACAATACCAAGTTCCACTTCTGGGAGCCAAGATGACAAAGTAAGAAGTAAGTTGCTCTCACCCTCCCTTATTGACCTCTGAAAGCCCAGAAAATATTGACCCAGGAAAAACCTTGAGCCAGCAAAACAGTCAGGGCACTCCAGTCTTGTAGCCCAGGAAGCTTGGGGGATTAAAGGGAAAGGGCCCTCGGGGGGAGGGGAAGCAGTACAGGATGGGAGGCATTCCAGCAAGCCAGTAGCAAGCCCCACCTCAGCATACTAGGTGGAGATCCTGAAACCCAGGTTGGAGCAGGCAAGTGCTAACACCTGGACTCCCCAAGAGCCTCAATACAGTTAGGGGAACCAGTAGACATCAGCTCCAAAAACCACCATGGGCAACAGCAGTCTCCAACAGCAAAATCACCTGGTGCCTCAACACAACTCCGTGAAGCACAACTCCAGGAGGCAAAGCTCCCAGTTGACACACAACCACCAGCAGTGAAACATCCCTGTGCAAGGCCCGGGTGAACAGGAGCCAAACATTAAAGTGTAAGGCTTGGGTGAGCAGGAAAAGAAGCTTGTGTAAGTGCCCCCTTGGCTCCAGCAGGAGAGCTCAACTTTTTTTTTTGTTGTTGTTTTAATTCAGAAAATAGGCAAACATCATGCACAAAAAGCAGAAATGGACAATGACTGTAGATTCTTATTATGGGGAAAGGGAAGATCAAGGCCCAAATTCAGAAGGGGACAGAATTGTCAATATACCTACATCTGAAACCTCAAAGGGGAATATGAAATGTTCTCAAGCCCAAAGAGCCTTCCTGGAAGAGCTCAAGAAGGATTTTAAAAGTCAAATAAGAGAGGTAGAAGAAAAAATTGGGAAAAGAAAGGAGAGGTATGCAAGAGAGAGTCAGTGGTTTGGAAAATAAAGGACAAAAGTTAACTGTAGAAAACCAATATTCAAAAAAATACAATTGGCCAAATGGAAAAAAAAAATTCACTGAAGAAAACAACTCCATAAAAAGTAGAATTGGTCAAATAGAAAAGGAGGAACAAAAACTCACTGAAAAATGGGCCAAATGGAAAAGGAGGTATAAAATCTAATAGAAGAAAACAACTCACTAAAAATTAGAATGGGGCAAGCAGATGCTAATGGCTCTATGAGAGAGCAGAAACAAAACAGAAACAAAAGAATGAAAAAAATAGAAGAAAATGTAAAATACCGCATTGGTAGAACAACTGACCTGGAAAATAGATCCATGGGAAACAATTTTAAAAGTAGTGATCTACCTGAAAACCATGATGAAAAGAAGAGCCTGAATAACATCCTCCAGGAAATCATCAAAGAAAACTTCCCTGAAGTCCTAGAACCAGAGGGTAAATTAGTCATCAAAAGAACGCACTGATCACCTCCTAAAAGAGATCCCAAATTGAAAATGCCAAAGAATATTGTAGCCAAATTCCAAAATTACCAGATCAAAGAGAAAACAATGCAAGCAGTCACAAAGAAACAATTTAAATATCATGGAACCACAGTCTGGATTATGCAGGACCTTACACAGGACCTTGTAGCTTCTACATTAAAAGATTGCAGGGTGTGGAATATGACATTCTGTAAGGCAAAGGAGCTTGGATTACAACCAAGGATCAACTACCCAGCGAAACAAATAGGGGACTTCCAAACCTTCCTGATGAAAAGAGCTCAACAGAAAATTTGACCTTCAAATACAAGACAGGCATAAAAAGGCAAAGAGGAAAGAAAAAAAAAACCAACATGTTATTAATAAGGGCAAACTGTTTACATCCCTACAAGGAAAGATGACACTTGTAACTCTAGAGAAATGTAATGTTATTATGACATTTAAAAGGGGTATACTTAGACAGAGGGCATGAACATAAGTTGACTTTGATGTGATGATAAAAAAATCTAATTGAGAGGTGAAAAGGGATTGTACTGGGAGAAGAGGAAAGGAGGAGGGAGACAAAGGTAAATTACATTACGTGAAAAGGCACAAAAACCTAATACAGTAGAGGGAAAGAAGGGAGGGAGATAAGCATTGTTTGAATCTTACTCTCATCAGATTTGGTTCAAAGAGGGAATAACATAGTCAGTTAGGTATAGAAATCTAACTTACCCTATAGGAAGTAGAAGGGGAAAAGGGTAAAAAAGAGAGGGGTGAATAGAAGGGAGAGAAGAAGCAGAAAGGGTAAAGGGGAAGAAAAGGGAGGGGGTTAATAGAAGGGAGTACAGACTGAGGGAGGCAGTGGTCAAAAGCAAAACTACTGAGGAGGGAAAGAGAGAAAGGAGAGAGAAAAACATAAACAAGAAGGCAAACAGGATGGAGAGGAAGACACAGATATTAAACACAACTATGAATGTGAATGGGATGAACTCTCCCATAAAATGGAAACAGATAGCAGAGTGGATTAAGAGCCATAATCCTACAATATGTTGTTTACAAGAAACACATTTGAAGCAGAGGGATACACATAGAGTAAAGGTAAAAAGCTGGAGTAGAAAATATTATGCTTCAACTAATGTGGAAAAAAAAAAACAGGGGTAAAAAACAATATCAAGTTTCTAGACATTGCCACTAAAGGATAAATTTCAAAGGTTATAAATAAGGACAAAAGTAATGTGAGAAAAACACCTTGAAAACATTAAAACAGAGAGGTGGAGCCAAGATGGCAGAGAGAAACCAACAAGTTGCATGAACACTCCCCAGTTTCCTATAAAACTGTGCATGTCCTTTGACCCAGCAATACCACTTCTAAGTCTGTATCCCAAAAAGATCATAAAAATGGGAAAAGGACCCACATGTACAAAACTATTTATAGCATCTCTTTTTGTGGTGGCAAAGAATTAGAAATTGAGGGGATGCCCATAAATTGGGGAATGGCAGAACAAGTTGTGGTATATGAATGAAATAGAATACTACTGACTCCATAAGAAATGATGAGCAGACAAACTTCTGAAAAACCTGGAAATATTTACGTGAACTGATGCTGAGTGAAGTGAGCAGAACCAGGAGAACATTGTACACAGTAATAGCATCATTGTGCACACAACTAAAAACTTTGATAGACTTAACTCTTCTCAGCAATACAAGGGTCTAAGACAATTCCAAAAGACTCATGATGGAAAATGCTATCCACATCCAGAGAAAAGAACTATGGAGTCTGAATGCAGATAGAAGCATACAACTTTCTCTCTTTTTTTGTTTCTTCTTTCTTGTGTTTTTTTCCCCTTTGGTTCTAATTCTTCATTTCAACTTGACTAATGTGGAAATATGATTAATAAAAAAATAGAATTAGCCAAATGGAAGAAAAATCCACTGAAGAAAACAACTTCTTTAAAAGTAGAATTGGCCAAATGGAAAAGGAGGTACAAAAGCTAACTGAAGAAAATAATGCCTTAAAAATTAGACTTGGGCAAGTCAAAGTTAATGTTATTAAGAATGAGTGGGTCAAACAACAAATCATATAAAGGATCAATAATTTTATCAAAGAGAATGACAAAGATGAGACAACATACTAAAACTTATGTGATGCAACCAAAGCAGTTCTTAGGGGAAATTTTATATCTCTAAATGATTACAATGAATAAAATAGAGAAAGAACAGATCAATGAAATGGGTATGCAACTAAAAAAGCTAGAAAAAGAATATATTAAAAATCTCTAAATACAAAATTAGAAATTCTGAAAATCAAAGGTGAGATTAATTAAATTGAAAGTAAGAAAACTATTAAATGAATACATAAAACTAAGAGCTGGTTTCATGAAAAGACCGATAAAATAGTTAAACTTTTGGTTATTTTGATAAAATAAAAAGAAAAAAGAAAACCATATTACAAGTATCAAAAATGAAAAGGGTGAATTCACCACCAATGAAGTGGAAATTAAAGCAACTAATTAGGCACTGTTTTGCCCAACTGTATGCCAATAAATCTGACTATCTTAGTGAAATGGATGAGTTATTACAAAAATAGAAATTGCTCAGATTAACAGAAGAGGAAATTAAAAACTTAAATAATCCCATTTTAGAAAAAAAAAATTGAACATGCCATTAATGAATTCCCAATGAAAAATTCTCCAAGGCCAGTCAGATTTACAAGTGAATTCTACTAAACATTTAAAGTACAATTAATTCCAATATTATATAAACAACTTGGAAAAATAAGAGAAGAAGGAATCCTACCAAATTCCTTTAATGGCACAAATATGGTGCTGATACATAAACCAGGAAAAGCCAAAACAGAGAAAGAAAATTATAAACCAATTTCCCTAATAATTTTGATGCAAAAATTTAGATGAAATATTAACAAAGAGAGGGGGGAGGCAAGGGAGGAAGGGAGAAAAATTTGGAGCTCAAAATTTTATAAAAATGAATTTTGAAAACTATCTTTACATGTAATTGAAAAAAGAATAAAATACTACTAAGAAAAAAGAAAAAAGAAAACATTAAAACACTATTTGAATCTAAGTTACTACTGTTATTAACAAAGGAATATAAAATACAAAAGAATTAAATGACTAAACTTGCCTACATTTTTTTCATTTCAACAAATTTCAAACTATCGTAACCATGTATGTAGGTGATGAAACATACCACTTTTCATTTTATTGCTGATCCTAATCTTTCTTTTTTATTTTGAGTAATAAAATATTAGAAACATAAAGTTTAAGCTAGAAGAGATCTCAGAGGCTATCCATTCCAACACCATTATTTTAGAAATGAGAAAAATGCAGCTGAGGAATGTCAAGTGACTTGTCCACATTCATACAGGGGGTATAAGGGGTAGGATTTCAATCCAGTTTCTCTGACTTCAATCTACATTCTTTCCACTAAAGTGTGCTTGCTTCTCTTAATTTAAAATATTAACTATAATACAATATTTTCTAACTGCTAGGTACATAACATTCTATCTTCAGCCTTACTCTAAACAGCCTGTGAAAGTAATGGCCATGTAGATCTCAATTCCAATTTAGACGCTGAAGACTTGCATTAGATAGCAGCTTTTAGGTTCTTTTTCTTAGACTTATTTTAGTGTGGTAAGAAGCAGTTCAAAGATTTCTCAAAAAGGTAATAAGGAATACAACTTTCTGAATCACATAATACAGATGGGTTTCAATAGTCCTGGAAACTCTTGGTAAGAGGACAGTATTGGTAGAGAAGGGGTTTGGAGTGAGGGTGATAGGACAGACAAAAGTATTTTGTCTATGTCTTATTTCATTGGAAAATAATTTAATTGAAAAATTAGTTAACTGTGTCTAAAAGATAGGACCACACCATCCCTTTTACATTTAAAAAAAAGATTGTCTTATTCTATATATCACAAAAAAATTCTTAAAACCTCATTGGTTTGGAGGGGGGAAAAGGTATACAAATCAGGATTGATTGGAAAGCAAAATAACTTATTTAAAAAAAATCTAGGTCAGGCTAGAGTTTGCTTTATTGTAAATTATAGTATGTCTCTTTATTTTGCATGGATTATTATTTTAAGTAAGTTAGAAATATTTTCAATTCCTCTGCAATAGAGTTAAGTATTATTTATGACCTAAGGGATTTACAAATTATGAATTAAAGTTTTGCATGCACTTATAGAGACAAGTCATAGAAGTGTTAGAAATGATAAAATGCACAATTAAAAGAGGGTATGTTTGTCATGCTATAGACTTGTATTTATGTGATATAAAATATTTTATGAGGGAATTGGACAACAGAATATGAATATCACTGAAGTTGACTGGCCATATAAAAAATAAAATAAAAATACTTCAAATCAATGATATTAAAAAATGAAGTAGCACAGAAACAGTGTTTTAGAAGAGATAGAATTTCAGGGAGCATTCCAAACTCTTCACTTCATATTTGTAAATAGAAACAAAAGGAAATAGATTCAAAGAGATGAAGGAATTAGTTAGTGGCAGAGCCAGGACTAGAACATATGGTCCAAAATCCTGCCTTCCTTATCTATCTACACTACAGTATTGTCTCAGTTGAGAAGGCTGTCTTTTACTTTTTGGCATTTGTCATTCAGTGGTTCATAGTATTATCCATAATAACTTGTGCAGGACAATGACATTACACAATTAAATTCATGGTTGCACAAAAAGCAAATTGAGTACCAATCTTCAGAGAGCAGGAAAAAAAAAAAGACTTTTTGAATCCAATGTTTTGGATAATGTATGGCTTTTCTACCATAATCCTGAACTAAAATATCAAAGTAACCAGAAGAAATAATTAGGGAGTGCTCAACCCCAGAATATCATTATTTGTCAAAGTACCAGAAAACTCATAATTCTGTTTGTTTGTTTGTTTTTACAGAATTAGGGTGATTCACAATTAATGTGTACAAAAGAATGCAAGATATAATGGCAAGAATGCAAGATGTTGGGTTCCAGGTAAGTGAAAATGACTACCAGGCCCCAGACCAGGGCTCATTTTTAATATAAATGTTTGGTCCCCTTTGACAATATGATTTATGTGAAAATTTGTATGCAAACGATGCAGTATTAGTAAAACTCAAGGGAAAAAAAGTTCTTACTTTATTATTACCCTGTGCTTCACCCAAAAACAATGAAGATTTGAGGTTTATGGCAATAGCTCATTCACTCCTCAAGTTCAAAAGAAGTGAGAGATCACCAGTTTTGAGTCTAATGATGGGTTAAGCAACGCCATTACCGCTACACTTACCTAACAAATAATGAACTTTACCAATTTTTTGATGAACACAAAATAAGGTGGAACAAATAAATGTCTTGTGCTGGAAGATGAGTATTTGAAGGCAAGCATATATATTTTACACTAGCAAATCATTAAAATTAACTTTTCTTCTTATTCCTATCCCTAGTTCTTTTAACCTTTTAAACTTCTAACATTAATACATTTATGTATACGCTATGATTTTGGCTTGTATAGGAAATTTTATTGGTTACTACATAATTCATAAAGTCAGTGTCTACCTTCAGATATCTGCCTTGAACATATTTATGAATAGTTCTATCACTAATAAGCCACACTCTTTGATGTCTTTATATTTAATTCAGTGTTCTAGACTATAACTTTTTCTTGATTGATAAACTTCATAGACCCTCCATCTTCAATGAGATTGCAAAGTTTAATTATTTTTATTAAAATTGGATTAGAGATTTAAAAAAATTTTGTCCTTAAAATTTTATATGTAGTTAACATGATAAAACACTGCTTGTTGAGGAATAGAATTTCACTTTTTTAGTCTTAAATGCTTGTCATAATAATTTCATGTATATAGCCAGAGATACACTATTTTACAAATGAATAAAATGAGGAAAAGTGGGTTTCAGTTGTCATCTAACTAGCTATAGGAAATTAAAATATTTTATTGGAAAAATACATTTTTTTATTTAGTAGTAAGACATATTTAAAATTAAATACTGGTTTTTTTTTCTGTGATTGGGATTTATCATTTCTTCTAAGGAAGGGTTTACATATGTCATCTCTTTCTGATATATGTTGTAATGTACAGTAGTTAAAAGTACATGATAACTATTTCCTTTTAGCTCTGTTAGCATGAGCAAGTTATCTAAGTTTTCTGCTCCTCAGTTTCACCACCACTCCAATGAGAGTAACCAGAATACCCACACTGCCTTTCTCACAAGGTAAAGGGTCAATTGATTTGAAAAAAGTAATCTTATTAATGTGAGATGAATTTATTATTACAAGCCCAGGTCATTAAGATTCCAAATTGCCCAGCTGGAAGGATTAAATGCTAGGAGTTATGTCAGAAAATCTTCTCTCTTCTAAAGTTCAACTGCCTGCATCATGAAGGTTGGAAAGTCTTCCTAGAGTCATGTTGGAGGTGGGCATGTATGCCCACCAACCAAAAATCTAGGAACAAATATGTATTACCTTTCAAACCTTTGTCCCCTAGTACTCCTAACTCCTGTGGCTTTTGTAGGCTCTTTATTATCTGTGAAGCAAAAGCTTTATGAACATTCTAAAATTTTGGGAACATTTTAAATGTATATACTTGGATAAGTGATTTACACAGAGTTCCAAAAAAGAACGCGGGCTCTGCTCTCCCACTGTTTTACTGTTCTGTCTTTATATATTCAAATATTAGATCAGTCCATCTGTTCATTTGAGTGTGTACACATGCTACAGTTACAGGAGGCTCTTATATGTAGTATTTATTTTTCTCATAGTTAAGAATCATACATAATATTGCTAAATACAATACACTTTAAAGGTGTTCAAAAGTTTTCATATGATTTGGTTAAACACATTTAGAAGAATGTAGAAATCTGAAAATTGTTATTGTAGCCTACATAAAGAAATTTTTGGATAAAGCAGTTAATAACACAAAATACCTCAGGCTGCTTTTAGCAACCGGTTTCAAGATAGTGAACGTACAAGGATGATTAAGTAACTAACTATAAATAAACCATTCCCTATCTTTTTAGAGCACCAAATGAAAATAGAAAACAAAAAGTACATATGAATTTTAAGATTGCTCTTTCAATATTTTTAAAGTAGCTATTTCTTTGGTTTTGTTGGTCCTACCTTCTTGGTCGATGGCAGGTCCACCCAAAGTAAATTCTGTATCAGAAGCCCTCTCTGAACTGCCGATTTGGGGCAAAAGGGGCTGATTAAGTGCCTTCTGTGGTCCATACTGTTTAATTAGTTGGTGATGACTATGTATAAAATAAAATATAAAACCTAATAAGTCTACATCAACAAAGATGAAAATTATATGCATCAAGTCTTTGTGTATCTCAAACTTTAAATAATCAACAAATTTTTTTATTATTTTGATGAAGTCTGTAGAGCATAACTAATCATTCAATCTAGACGTAATACACTTGTACTCAGAGTCACAGTATTATAGAATTGTAGATTCAGAGCTGAAAGGTTCTATATAGGTCATCTACTCCAATCTATTTATTTTATAGATCAAGTAATTGAGTCCCAGAAAAGGTAACAGTTGTCTAAGATCACACATGTAGTGAGAGGCATGATTTCTCTCCAGGTCCTCTGACTCCAAATCAAACATTCTTTCCCCTGTACCAAACTGTTGTTCTGCAAATTCTAATGATGACTATTAATATTTATGATTTATTCTTTTTATTTATCACTCATTTGAAGGCATCCAAGACATAATGTGATTTTCCCTAAAACTAACTTTAAGTCTACTATAATCAAGAGGTGTCAACCAAGGCTAAAAAGAAAAACAAACAGACAAAAAAGAAACAATTGCCTCTCTAAATCAGACATCATAAGTAAATTATAGAACTTTTTGTGAGGATCAAATAATAAAATGTATGTAAAATATTGGAAAACCTTAAAGGGCTATAAAAATGGCAGCTATTATCGTCATTATTATTACATCTGAAAATTCCAATCCCAGATTACCTGACTCTGCCTTGTACTCTGTCTTTTGCTTATGTCCTCTTGAACCTGGATGACCTAACTTTGCCATTTGCCCAGTTTCTTCTTAGTGCCTTGAGTATGCTTCCCAGATGCTAACTATATTATGCAACTATAAAAGTCCCAGGTAGTTTCAGTTGTATGGAGGAAAAATGCTTTTAAATGCAATTAAAGATAATTAGAATTATAATGTTAGTACTTACATGGAATGACCACTGAAAATAGCATATTCTTCAGCTGTCCATCCATATGTATCTTGGCAAGAGAGATCAATATCATATTGAAGAAGAAGACTGACTATGCCTACTGGCTCACCACTGACAGCAATCATCAGGGCTGTTCTAAAATAACAAAGAAACAATTCACCTTTAAGATTTTAACCAGTTGCATTGTCAGATTTTTCTTGGTATGTTTCAATAAGAGGATATCTCATATTCTTTAGAGTTAATATATATGTGGAGCATGAACACTTAGTGATGGATCCAAGTACTTTTATTGCTTGTGTACAGTATCGAAAAGGGCAATTAAGAGCAGAATGAAAGATAGGAGAATTTTTTTTCTTTTTTTTTGTCCTCAGAGTTTTTGCAAGGATTGTCAAATTTAAGGCTTTATAATATACAAGAAGAGAATATGTTAAAGTCACTTGTGTGCAACAGTTAAGGACTTTCAGCTAGCGACCCTACACAAAGTTTCTACTTGTTTACTGGCTTTCAAAGTAAAGTGGAGACCCTTTGAAAATGATTAGATTAGAAATAATCTTGGCAACTCACTCCACTAAATTCCTACTACAATGCCACTTCATAATATGGAGCTGACCCTTGGTTGTCAAAGGCTAATCCAGAACAGCCTATTTTGTGTCTTACTAAACATGAAAATCTTTGAACACAAATACAGCAATGAACTCTGTTGTTTAAGGACAAGCCCAAGTAAGTAAAGAAAGGTTCATCACCAGAAAGCTAGCACCACTTAATTTGGGGAAGGCCCATTAACTCATAAAGGCATGAGTTATTAAGATTTAGTGTGATTATGAGCTGCACCAGTAGAAGGAATATCTGCAATAATAAATCTTCTGAAGTTCTGAGTTGGTTGTAGGCTGAAAATTCATAGGCTTTTTGCCTAAGGTAGCAATATCAGTAATGTCATGTAAAGGTTTACTGTCCCTTGATTACTCTGTTAAAGGTAGAATTAGTGTAAAGAGCATCATCACTGGATGATATTTTAAATCATGGATATTTTAAGGTATTTTGAAATACATAAGTTCTTTCTAACAGGTAGCAATGTTTACTGTTGAAACCTTTTTCTCTGATCTGATCTCTCCAACAAGAAACCTAAGAAACGCCCAAAAGGAACCAGGGAAGTACATTTGGGTGGAAAATAAGGGATTATGAGAAAGATTGATACTGATGGAGTCAAACTTTGGTATTAGTAGTTAATATTATCATATGTTTTAAAATGTTAGGTTTTTTTGTTTGTTTGTTTGTTTGTTTTATGTTACCATTTAGTTCTGGGAACCAAGATGGTGTAGTAAGCAGTAAATCGCCATAACTCTCCCATATTCACCTCAAAACAACCATAAAATAGCACCCCCAAACAAATCCTGGAACAGTAGAAACAGCAAAAAGATGGCATGAAACAATCTTTGAGCCCAAGAAACTTGGAAGATAGGCAGGTAAGGTCTGTCTCACTCGGTTAAAAGTGGAGCACAGTCCAGGACCGGAAGCCAGTAGCAAACCCCACCTCATCAAACCAATGGTAGATTGTGAGCCCCAATGTGGTGGAGCAGGCCACCAATCCTAGGATACCCCATATGCCTCAGCATAGCCAAGGGAATGGGCAGACTCCAGCTTTGAGAACTGCTATAGGTTTTAGTGTAGCTCTAGTCAAACAGGTAGACTCCATCCCTACAGGTACTTAAAACAGGCAACCACCAGTGGCCACAATAACAAGTGTTTCAGTGTATGCCTGGGGAAAAACAAAAACAATCCACTGGCCTCAGCACATGCCAGACACCAGCACTAGGACCCCAGGTCAGAACCAAGTAAGCTGCCAGACTCCTGCAACCTACAGCAGCACCAGCCACCACCACTCCCTTCCCCTCAACACAACACCAGATAATAGGGTCTCGGCCTCAGCACAACATTAGTACAGCACCAGGTAAACAACCAGGGCCTACAGTCCCCCCCACAAGAAGCCTGAAACAGTGTCCTTTCTACCCTGGGAGCAGAGCTCAAATTGAAAGAAAGGAAAAAAGCCAAAAAGGATGAGCCAAAAAGAATCTGATCATAGAAAGTTATTATGATCACAGGGAATATCAAGACACAAATTCAGAGGAGGACAACGATGTCAAAACACCTATGGGCAAAATATTGCAAGCGGCCAGGAAGAAACGATTCAAGTATTGTGGAAACATGATCAGGATAACACAAGATTTAGCAGCTTCTACATTAAGAGACCAGAGGGCTAGGAATATGATATTCCAGAGGTCAAAGGAGATAGGAGTACAGCCAAGAATCACCTACCCAGCAAAATTGAGTATAATCCTTCAGGGGAAAAAATGGATATTCAATGAAATAGAGGACTTTCAAGCATTTTTGATGAAAAGACCAGAGCTGAATAGAAAATTCGACTTTCAAATACAAACTCAAGAGAAGCATGAAAAGGTAAACAGGAAAGACAAATCATAAGGGACTTATTAAAGTTGAACTGTTTATATTTCTACATGGAAAGATGATATTTGTAACTCATGAGACTTTTCTCAGTATTAGGGTAATTGGAAGGAAAAAATATGGATAGATAGATAGATAGATAGATAGATAGATAGATAGATAGATAGATAGATAGGTAGATAGATAGAAAACACAGGGTAATTTGAAGATGAAGGGATGACATCTAAGAAATAAAATTAAGGGATGAAAGAGGATTATACTGGGAGAAGGAGAAAGGGAAAGATTAAATGGGGATAAATTATCTCACATAAAACAGACAAGAAAAAGCTTTTACAGTGGAGGGAATATGGGGGAAGGTGAGAGGGAATGAGTGAATCTTACTCGAATCAGATTTGGCTTAAGGAAGGAATAACATACACACTCAATTGGGTATGGAAATCCATCTTACCCTATAGGAAAATAGGGGAAGGGGATAAGGCGGGGGGTGATGAAAGGGAGGGCTGATTGGGGGAGGAGGTAATCAGAAGCAAACACTTTTGAGGAGGGACAGGGTCAAAGGAGAGAAAAGGACAAATGGGAAGTGGGATAGGATGAAGGGAAATATAGTTAATTTTTCACAACATGACTATTATGGAAGTGTTTTGCATGACACATGTATAATCTGTATCAAGTTGTTTGCCTTCTCAATGAGGATGGGTGGGGAGGGAGGAAAGGAGAGAATTTGGAACCCAAAGTTTTAAAACAAACATTAAAAATTGTTTTTACATGCAACTGGGAAATAAGATATATAGGCAGTGGGGTATAGAAATCTATCCTACCCTGCAGGAAAATAGAAAAAGAAGGGGATAAGAGAAAGGGGGGGTTAACAGAAGGAAGAGTAGATTAGGGGAAGTGGTATTCAGAATGCACACTGTCGTGGAGTTGAGGGAGGGGAGAGATGTGAAGAAAATTTAGAACTCAAAATCTTGTGGAAATGAATGTTGAAAACTAAAGATAAATAAAATTAGCTAATTAATAAAAAAGAACTGAAAAAAAAAACTGAATCAGTGGCACAAATATCCACGATGATAAGATCACAGGCCCATCAAAGTATTTCATCATATTATTCTGGTATTGATTTGCATTTTTCAATGAACATATTCTTAAGGATAATCAAAGGTAGAAGGAGCAGAAAATTCACACTAGAATTCTCATGCATGACATGAAGATTAGCTCATAAAGAGAATCACTAGAGTACAAAACTTCTATGTGATAATCTTAACTATCTTAAAATCAAATAGTGAAAACTATTATTAAAACTATTATATAATAACTGTTATTAAAACTAAATAGTGAAAACTATTAATGATGGTTAGCATGCCTACATGAAATGCTTTCTCTATTGCTGAGTCCTAAGAGTTTTTCTTTTCATAGCTGATTTTAGGGACATTTTTCACCCTTTCACAATAATAGTCAATTTCAATTATTGTTGTTCACTAAGTATTCCATGATTTAAGTTGTTCTTATTCCTCTAGAAAATTTTCCTTTTTTTTATTTCAAGCTTTAATTACTGTACCTTTTAAACCTATCTGAGGCATTCACATTTGCTCCATTCTTTAAGAAAAAATCAACTGTATCTTGGTTATTTTCTGTAACTGCAAGCAAAAATGGTGTATAGCCTTCCTGCAAAATTATATTAAAATATTGTTACAGTATGCATGAATTCTATATATACTTCAGTTCACCTTAAGGCATTTTGTGAAAATCCTGTGAACTTGCTAATGACATGTTAAGGAAGTATGGTACAATGGAACCTTGTAGTGAGAAGACCAGGGCGTAAATACTGCGTCTTTTAGTTAATTCCTGCATGATCATAAGCAAATTATTTCACTTCTCTGGGCCTTAGTTTCTTCATATGTAAAGTGATAGAATGAACCTAGATAGCCTCTGGGATTCCTTCCAGCTATTAATTTGTGATCAGGACATCAGAAACCCAGGATTTGTAAAACTGTTTAATATTATTTCAGGAGTGTCTTCCTTTCTTACTATCTTCATGTCATGATCAATTATTGTCTTCATGCAGCCAACCTTATTTCCCCAGTACACCGCCAAGCTAAAGCTATACCCTGGTCAGTTTTAAAGTTGCCTAGTTCTCTTTACCCATTCCCCTCGAGTGTGTACAACCAACCTCAAAACTCAAGAAAATCTTGCCTCTAGGTTAAACCTAGAAGTCATTCTGGCATTTTACCTCTCTTCCCAGCCCTCTTAATGTATACTTTATATTAAACCTTTTCTTAAAAATCAGGAGTTATTCAGTAACTTTAGAAAGGAAATGGTATAGTCTTTAGGAAACAGAAAAAAATAGATATACTTAGTAATTTGTTTTGTGAAAAAAATTTTTTTTATACTTTTTAGGCAATTGGGGTCAAGTTGCTTGCCCAGGGTCACACAGTTAGTGAGTGTCAAGTGTTTGGTCTGAGGCCGGATTAGAACTCAGGCCCTCCTGCTTTCAGGGCCGGTGCTCTATCCACTGTACCACCTCTTGTGAAAATTCTGTATCTGGTTTTATATCTTGTAGAAACAAATTTTAAAAAGATTTTTTAAAAAAAGTATGAAAAAATGTATGGCATTTCTACATGACAAATTAACATTGTGTTATCATATGTAAAGGTCTATATGTAGAAAAGCACTGTAGGCAAACATTGGATGGAACCATTGCATTCTGGGGAGCAGACCTAGTATATTATGCAAAGAAAATTCTAGAGAGCCAACTGCCATGGAACGGAGAGATAACTAGCTTCGAAGTCAGTAAGACCTAGATTCAAGGCCTGCCACTGACCCACATATACTGGCAGGGTGACCCTGGGAAGTCACTTAATATTTCAGTACGCCAGGACACTGCCTAAGACAGGGTTTCTTATCTTATTTTGTGTCATAGACCCTTTTCCAGAATAATGTTTTTAAATGCCTGACATATAGAGAATGTAAAGTATACTAATTACAGTGAAATAATAGCTATAATAATAACTATCAAGTTATTATTGTTTTTTAAAAGTTATTGTATCCTGTGTTAACAATCCCTAGTCTAAGATTAAATCATAGAGCAGGCCCTGGTCTAATTCAGTAAAGTTCCTCATTAGAAAGTTCGATGTGAATGAAATCTCCTCCCTTGTTCCCTGGCCCACCCCCCCCCCATTAGAAAATGCCAAAGGCCAATGAACTTTGACTACAGAATTATTTTGAGTTATTTTCATTAAAGAAATACTTTCATGAATATATAAATTATAAAATATGTGAATTGGACACCACCTGATTACACATTATATCTCATAAAATACTTTAATATACAAGAGGTGAGCTTCTACCTTGTTTTTTGCTTCAATAGCTGCTTCATGTCTGAGCAGCTTTGCTGCTATAGCTGTGTTTCGTCCAGCGGCAGCATAGTGAAGTGCAGTGTTGTTGTTGGCATCCACAAGATTAGGGTCTGCTCCATGTTCAAGCAGGATAGTAGCACACTCCTCCTGCTGACACTCTACTGCCTGTCAATATAATATAGAGAAAGAGACAATAAGTACTCTAAGATAAAATTTAGTATGCTAAAACATCATTATTTATCATTATTATGACTATCATTAAATATCATTATTATGATATTTAAATAAGTTAGTAAAGCATATACACTTAATCAAAGAGAGAAGTCAAAACACATTAAATTGACCAGCATGGTTAACTAATGCTTACCTTAATTAAAGGTGTTTGGCTGTTATTGTCACACAGGTTTAGATTGCATTTTCTCTCTACTAAGAGAGAAACAACATCTGGATATCCATTAGCACAGGCAAGATGTAGAGGCGTCCTGTGGAAATGAGAGATCTATGTGATTGCTTGATAATGTACCACAACAATCAAAATTGTACAATTATTAGTTAATATAATTTCTAACAAAATTAATTATTCTTGTGCCTGAACTCTAAATCACTGCCAAAATAAATATAAGTGGCCCCTGTCACCCAAAGAAATATAAAATATACTTTAGCTCTTATTGCTGGGTATGATGGACAAAATTGCCAGGGGGAAAATGACAGCAGGTTGATTAAGATTTCACCACAGATTGACATGGAAACTCTGCTCAGTTTCTGATCTGAGCTGGTTCACCTCTCCCTTGGCAACTTGATGGTTCCTTGTGCTTTGGGACTCAACATACTGATGCCAGACTTAGTGCAGACACCTTACTGCTATAGCCCACCAGCTCAGGACTCATAAATTCAAGAGACCTGCCAGCCTCAGCCTCACTGGTAGTTGGAATTACAGGTGTGCATCACCCTGCCCGGCTGTTAGGCCTAATAACAACTTCTTTCCACTAATAATACCCATAATTGCAAAACATTTAGTAAAGCAGCTGCCTCAGAAAAAAACATTTAGATATTTCCATACACATGTGTGTGCATTCTCCACTAAAGGCTAACTGCAGAGTAGCATTGGACAGTTGAAGTGGATCTGTGCTGCTAAAGGCTATCCCAGCTGGATGCAAGTTTTGGTAGTTCTACCATGCTGGCAAGATTTGAAGAAAGAGCCTGGTACTTTTGCTGTCCACAGACCAACCTAACTCAGGTCCTAAAGATATGACCAGGTTGGTCAAAGGAGGATGAATAGTTTATCAACAGCAAATCTCAAAGACTATCTTTGTTGTTCTGTTGTTTCCGGCATGTTTGACTCTTCATAACCCTATATGGGGTTTTCTTGGCAGAGATATTGGAGTGGTTTGCCATTTCCTTCTCCAGCTTGTTTTACTGATAAGGAAACTGAGGTAAACAGGATTAAGTGACTTGCCCAGGGTCACAAAGCTAGTAAGTGTCTGAGGTCAGATTTGAATTCACAAAGATGAGTCTTCCTGACTCCAGGCCTGGCATTCTATCCACTGAACCACCTAGCTGCCCCTGGCTAACTATCTACCAAGTTGTAAAGAAGCTATGATAGGTATTGGTGGAGGGATTATCCACACCAACAAAATCATGTATTCCTGAAGCAATGAATGTGGATCTAAATATTCATATATGTACATTTTTCATTTTTGCTTGTTCTTCAGGACTCCCCCTTTCCCCCTTGCCTTCTTCCAGAGTGCATAAGGTAGGTGGAGGGGGAAAGATTTCTTCCTTCCCCATCCTCCCAGCTGCCATGGTGATGTGCTTGGATGTAACCTAAGAAGTAAGGAAACTAGGATCTAACAAGTGTCTACTGTGTCCCAGACTCTGTGTAAGCACTTTACAAATATTATCTCATTTAATACACTTTATTAAAACATGTTATATATTTTTATTTTTTTATTTCATTTGATCCTTATAATAACCCAGAGTACTATTATTAGCCTCATTTCATAGTGGAGGAAACTGAGACATATAGTGGTTAGGAAACTTGCTCAGGGCTCAGATTCTTAAAATCTAGCCACTGGTCAGATTCTTATAATCTAGTCAATAGCTCACTATAATGTTCAGATTCCTTAAGAGTGTACCCAATATGATAGATGTTCTAATAAGCCTTGTCTTTGGCTGAAAGGTGGCTTGGGTCCAATTCTTTCAGGCAGGACCCACATGTTGTGATTTTGGGGTCCCAACACCCCTAAACCCCTAAACCTCAACATTTTGGTGGCCTGTATGGGGAAACTGCCTAACCCCAAGTTCTACTCCAGCCAAGAAAGGAAAGTATGTAAGCCTCCCCCTCCCCCTTTCTTGCTCTGCAGTTGGGGTCAGTATCCAAGTACCAAGGCATGGAAATGCTTATCGGGCAGACAGTTATGAAGTTGTCTTGCACTCGGCCTGACACTCTCAAATTCTCAGTCCATTGGTTTGGTTTGAGGTCATGGACCTGGGTACACCTTCCGCAGCATAGAGGACGAGGAGGGATGCCCTAGCTGGAAGCATATGCCCAATTCTGCAATTCTCTTGGCACTAGGGAATTGGGAAAACTGCAGTTGTCTTTTTGGTTCCCTTAAGCTTACTTATTCCCTTCCCTCGACATCCCTGAATCCTCCTTCAAGGAGGTTACGGGGAAAAGTTAGAACAGATAAAAATATCTTGGCAGATTCTGGAGGTTTTGTGGTCTATCATTAAAGAGTGTTTCAAAACTGCACAACCTGGTCACTCCCTTCCCTTGAGTCAGGAGGATATCTATTAACCCCTCTCATAGGAGAAAAGAGTTTTACCCTTTCCCCCTCACCTTTGATTTTGCCTTCCCCCACCTGGGGAAAGGAAAGAGGGGGTAGGGGAAGCAGCTTTAGCATGGGCCCCACTGGCAATGGCCTTGGGCCCTAGGGCAACCTTTACCTGGAAGCATCACCCAGGTTCAGCACATCCTGCTCAAGGTAAAGAAACTGGCCTCTGAACTTGGATAAGCACACTCTTTTAAAATTGTAGTTTTAACTGTTAATGATGAGATGTTGATTATATGTGTAAAGTAATTTGGAAATGCATTTAATAAAACTGAAGTCACCTGATTGGTAATGTGTTTGTTTCAAGTTTCAAATTGGTGAACTTTTTGTATCAGTTATGTGAAGAAACTTTTCATAATTTGGTTACTGCTAAAATAGTCTGGCTATTGTTGGTTATTGTTTTAATGGGTAAACTTGCCAAAAAGTTTGTTTGGGTTTTGTCTTGCTGAGAATTTGCAAGTATATAGAAATCTCTAACATTGGCTTTTTATACCAGGACAAATTTAAATTTGCGATGTAAAGCCTGGAGAAGTTTTACCTAAATTGTTGATGGGGTATGGGCCCAAGCCTAGATCTTAGCACCTTGCCCCAAAGGGAATCTGGCTCTACAGGCCCCAGCTCCTTATCTCCCTTTGAAAGCCTTAGTCCTTCCTTTTGATCTTATTCAGATGCACCTTCACCCCTTGCCCTAAAAAGAATCTGGCTCCCATTTGTCTACAAGCCCCAGAAAACCCTTAAACTTTAGGTTCCTTATCGACTCCCCTTATCTCCCTTTGAAAGCCCTAGCCCCACCTTTTGATCCTTTCAAACTTCTACCTTCTAGTTTCCTTCATTATCTATTCCCATTGTCTGTTCAATCTCTCAGACCTTCTAATCAGAATTCTCATCTAGACCCTTTTCCCTGCCCCCTCCTCTGGCCACCCAAAGTTACTTTAGTGTATATAAGACCCACCCTGGCCCCCATTCAAATTCTGAGACTCTCATGCCCGCTCATCCCTAGGGGTGGGCATTACTAATGTTCAGATTCCTTAAGAGTCTGGCCTATATGATTTATCTCTAATAAACTTTTTCTCTGGCTGGAAGAAGATTTGAGTTGAATTCATTCAGGCAGGGCCCGAGTCACGATCTTAGGATCTGAGCACTCCAAACCTCTAAACCTCTTCACTGTGACTAGTGAAACTTGCTGTTTGAGGTAAAAGCTCATAGGATTTTATCTTGAGTCATGTGATGGATCATAATCGATTGATAACCAATAATCCACCATCTGAGAGAAATGCCACAAGCTACTCAAGACAATGTGATATTGGTGGGAAGTCAGCACGGGGAAAAGCTGAGAGGACAATTTAATGTCAGTCTAAGATGGGATCCTCCTGGCTCAGTTTCCCCATTATGTTGCTTTGAAAAGGAATGTTACCCACCTGGCTTTTCCTGAGACTGGCTGTGAGGTAGATTTGATACTGCATGGTTGGAAAACTGAATTACTGAATCCAAACAGAGATAAGGATGTTTCATCCCATCATATCTGGGCCCTGCAGTCTTTTCTGTCAGATTTGTGTCTTCCAGACTACAGGCCATTCACCTACAGTTGATAGCAAAGAGCTAGTACCAGCCAATGTCCCTCCATTGTTCCCTAGATGCAGTCTGTGCTCTATTCCAGTCAACCTTCTCTTTGGGGCCCTCTTGATACAGAGATAGCTCTATGCCTCTTGCCAGCAAGAAGCAGTTGCAGAAGCCTAGACCTTCACCTCTTACCCTAAAAGAATTTGGGTCCCATTTGTTTGAGGGGGGAATGATAAATTTGGGTTCTGGACTCCAGAAAAGAAAAACCCTGGACATTCCCACATGACCAAATCTCTGGCTTTTGCTTGAGGCTATAATCCCATCAACTGGCCTTTCATTGTGGCTATGCCCAATCTCCCAATTCTCTGTTACCCTTAACCTAGTATAGCCCTCCATTGTCTTACCTCCATATGGCCCCCAGCCATTTCCCAAACTTAATCCTAGCTGGGCTCCATTCTCCCTAGGCCACGTGGTCCCTGGCATTCTATTACCTCAAAGTGTCAGCAGACTACTTGACCATTCCTAGATCTCTCCCACAGTCTTTCTGTATATAAGGTCCATCTTGTCTCCATTAAGGTGCTCAGATTCTTAAAATCTAGCCAATAGCTCACTAATGTTCAGATTCCTTAAGGGTCTGCCCAATATTAGAGATGTTCTAATAAACTGTGTCTTTGGCTGAAAAAAACAAACAAACAAAAAAAAAATAAACTTGCTCAAGTCCACAGAACCAGAAAGTGTCTGAGGCAGAATTTGAATTCAGGTCTTCTTGACCTTCCAGGACCAGCACTCCATCCACAGTTGAAAATTATTTTTGACAAGACAATATTATCTTAAATTAGTAATTAAAAAAAACAGAAAAACAACACTGGATAATATTTTTGCATCTCTTAATAATATTGGATGCTAATGCCTAAAGAAAAAAGTTTAATTAGCAAAGGGTGGAGATGAAATGAAGCCTTTGATTATGGAGATAGTGTACAAAACTTTTAAAAAAATAGAGATTTGTTTATTCAGTTTCCACTAATTTTCTCTTTCTTAATTCAGGTATATCCCATGCTTATCAACTATGTTTAAGGTAGGATTTTTTACTCAGAAAAGGGACAAAAGAGAAAGAAAAGTGAAACAGGGTAAAATACTCAGGGTAGAGAGAGATATTCTGGGAAGGAATTGGCAAAGAGAGGGGAAAGAACTAAAAAAAAATGTGTTTGTGTACATTCGGGAAATTGCTTAAGCAAGAAACCAAGTTATCAGTTGTGAAAGTAATCAGAAAGGAAAGAAGCAAAGCAGCATCAAATGCTTATGATAGGGGAAAAGAAGGTGAAAGAGAAAGATGTTGGGTCAGCCATCATGCTGGCTGAGTGGAACCATGGTGGGTAGGGCAACCTGGTTGCTGTGCATTTTAGGGGAGAATAGAACCATAAAGGTCTCTAGAGGAGAGAGGAGAAGAGTCTGTGACAGTCTTTAATCTGAGTTCACATGTAGCTGATGTTTGTAAATACAATGTTCATCATTCTGGGAGTGTCTCTTTCTATATTAAACACAGTTACTCTTAAAACTAGTGGATAATTATCTACTTGACATCCCATTCAGGCTCAACTGGCAAGGGTTCTCTTCTTTGGTCACTACTGAAACATATTTGAAAGTATCTCAACCTTGAAAAGGGACTAGCATTTTTTTTTAACTGTATAGTGACTGGTTGTAGGATTTTTGTTTTTCTTTAGTTTTAAGTAACATTTATATTTTAAACAAATGGTTGCCTACACTCATTTCCATTATCATTACTCTATTTAAATTATTTTTTAATACTAATACCAACAAAACGAGATTATTAGTCTCCAATAAAATTTTGTTATATGCCAGGTCCTGTATTTTTGCTATGCAAATTAGACTCAGGGCTATCTATCTATCTGTGTGTGTGTGTGAAGGGCAAAATCTATTAATATACAAATCACAGCATATCCATAAGTAGAAGATCTAGTCAGCCAACTACAAAAGTTTTTGGCTTAGGCCATTTCAGCGAGCCAGTATCTCAGCTGCCTTAACCTATGGGGCTGGTTTCACTTACACATTACTATTTTGGCTCTGTACATGTGAAGTCAGGAACACTGACATGGACCTATGTGCACAAGGAACATGCCAATGCCTGTATTTCTTGACTTTTAGGACAAGTAAAATATCAAGAAAAACTCAAAATATAGCCTATCACTTTTAGTTTTGAAAGATAATGAATGACTGTTATTGGAAATGACATGAAAAAAATATGGGGCAAGTTTAAAGCAGGACAGCATTTCATTGTTTCTAAGAACACACGTAATTATTTGTTTATTTTCACCAATTAATAAACTATACAAAATTCAATTCAGGCAAGTGAATAATGCACTCTGATACATCAAATTTCCAGCTAGGATTCCACAGATTTTCAATATTTAACAAACAAAATAAAACATACTTGTTCTTTAAAAATACATTTGGAACTTAATTTCCTTATGTATAATTTCTGTGACTCACGTTTAAAGATTCTATTGTATATATTGTTGAATAAACTCCAGAGAAGCAGCACAGTATGGTGGATAGAAAGCTAGCCTTGCAGCTTTCAAGACCCACTAGGTATTCAAATCCTACCTCTGACACACACTGGCTGTGTGACTCAGGGTAAGTCACTTAACCTCTCATTGATCTAAGCAATTTTCTAAGATTCTAAGTTGCAAAGAAGATACTGGCCTGCAGGGGTAAAGAGAGTTCCCTATACAAATGTGGTGTTCCCTACACATATCCAGTCCATATCCAACGAGAAACTCTTAATGTGCACATTTAAATTTGATAGCAATATTAGATATGCTGAGAGAGTAACATAGCTGATTCTATGAAGTATACACGAAAAACCAATCTCCTTACACTTAGCACAGCAGCTCTTCTAAACCTTTTCATCCCTTTTCAAATCTCTCTTTTCAGCTAAAAAATTTGCCTCATATTTTACTGAAAAAACTGAGGCCATTATCTGAGACCTCCCTGTTTCCCCCTCCTTCTCATCTAACATCATCCAAATGCCTTCTGCCCCTATCTCTTCCTTCATCCATCTCACATGAAGACATATGTGGCCCTTCTCCTTGCCAATGAAAATGACTCTACATGTACAAGTGATGCCATTATATCTTATCTCCTCTATCATTCTTATTCTCACTTCTCTTCAATCTTTCCCTGCCTACTGGTTACTCCCCTGCCTGCCTACAAACATGCTCATGTCTTCTTCCATTCCCAAAAAACCTTCACTTGATCAGTCTGTCCCTACTATTATCCCACATCTCTCTTGCCTTTTGTGGCTAAATGCTATGAGAGGGACGTTGACAATAGGCGTCTCCACTTTCTCTCCTGTCTATTTCTTTTAATACTCTGCAGTGAGGATTCCAAACTCTCCAAAGACACTAATATTCTCTTAATTGCCAAATCTAATGGTCTTGTCTCAATTCTCATCCTTCTTGACCTCTCTGAAGCCTTTCAAACTAGAATCCTCTTCTTGATATCCCCTTCTCTCTAGGTTTTGTAACACTACTCTTCCCTGGTTCTCCTAAGTATCTGATTCTCTCCTCAGTCTCTCTTGCTGATTACCTCCTCCACTAGACTGACCTCCTAGAATGCAGGGACAATCCCCACTCCCCTATTTCTTTGTATCTGTTGCAGTTAGGCAGGTGCTTGACACATACAGTAGATGCTTAATAAAAGCAAAAATTAATTTTCTGCCTTGACGCTTTTACCCTCCACTTATCGTGGCCATATTTCACCAGATGGGGCAACTAGGAGGCACGATGGATAAGAGTGCTGGGCCTGGAGTCGGGAATACTCATCTTCCTCAGTTCACATCTGGCCTCAGATACTCATGTGACCCTTGGCAAGTCACTTAATCTTGTTTGCCTCAGTTTCCTCATCTGTAAAAGGAGCTGGAGAAGGAAACGGCAAACCATTCCAGTATCTTTGCCAAGAAAATGCCCCAGATGCCGTCACCGATAGTCGGTCACAGCGGAAAGGAATCAAAACAACATTTCACTAGAAGACAGCAGTATTTGCTCCCACGTCGCCATTGAGAAAGAATAAGTTGGTTGGACCCTGGCTCAAAGTAAAACGAAGGAGTTTCCCGTTCATTAGAATTGGACGGGCAGGAGGGTGAGGGGACGCCAGCTTTCGGGACTTGCTGTCCAATGTCCAGGAGGCGAAGCCTGGCCCTGACCCTGACGGGAGGCGCTGCCCTGTCCCAGGTGCTGAGGGGAGCAGCTTTTCCAAGGGTTAGTGAAGACCCGGACCCACGAGGAGGGAGGGTGGGGGGTCTCAAGAGGCTCGGGGGGCCCCCCCTCCCCGCCCCGTCTTACCGGTTCACTTTATCCCGATCGTTCACGCCGGACTTCCCCAGCAGCAGCAGCTGCTGCACCTTCGCCACATCCCCGATGGAGGCAGCTTTGTGGATCTTCCCCAGGTCCTTGGCTCTGACGAGGTATCCTGAGTTAGGGCCGAAAGCTCGGACCCCGCTGTCCCTCCGCGGGGGGAAGGAGGCTCGAGAGGGAGACAGCTCTCTCCTGCTGCCGAAGCCTAAAATCTTCTTCATCCTCGCGAGGGGTTCTCCCTTGACCTCTCAGCCTTCTCCGGGCCCTGGCCTCCGCTCCAGAAAACTGCAATGACCTGAGCCTGGAAGTTAAGAGATTCCAGAGCTCGCAACAGTTTTAAAGGATTCAAATCTAGAGACCGTTGTAGCCTTGGCAACGAGGCGAGACGGACTGAACCGCGCATGCGTTTATCAGAACCGCTGGTCCTGTGCATGGGCCCATCGGTAAAGTCACGCGCGGGTGAGTGCGCATGTGCTGGGTCCGTTAGCTATCCCTGAGAGGGTCCAAAGTTCAAGCTCGCGAGGGGGGCCTGAGCTCCAGGCTGCTTCCCGTGCTAGAGTTTCTTTCTACTCTTGCGCTGAAAGAGGATGGGCAGCAAAGTAGCGGAGATGGGGACGAGGTGTGACCTAATGGCAAGCGTGCTGGATCTGGATTCAAAGGGCTCAGGTTCCAATCTCGAACTCGCTCTATTGTTTCCCTTTGTGAAGATGGGCAAAACCCTTCGTCTCCGAGCCTCAGTTTCTTCTTCTGTAAAATGACGATGTTGTACTAGATGACCTCCCAAGTCTCTTCTGGCCCTTAAAGACTCTGTGAAGCCCAGACTGAAAATGATGGAGGTCTGCTGGGACAAATACAGTCTAGGTTCCTCTTTCTCCTGATTCGCCCTTCCCCTTTGTTGCCTTCAGGAGAGGAGGCGGATGATTTGTATGAGACAGGGAGGCTGGCACAGGGAGGGTGGAGCTGGCCTTAGCCAGGAAGCCCTGGGTTCAAGCCCAGCTTCTGCACAGTTTTAGTTGCCCTATTGACTCTATTATTCGGGAAGGAGGGAGTTACAGCAGTTCACTGGAAAAAAAGATTTGTCAGTTTTAATTGATCATAAGTTGCTAAAAAGAGTTAAACATACCCTAAGGCTATAGTAATAGAATAATAGGGTTTAAATAAATAGGGTTTAAGATAATAGTCCCATTCAACACTGGGTTCAAGGAAACCTGTTCAGAGTATTGTGTTTACTTATAGATGCTACATACTGGGAGGGACATTGATAAATTCAGAGTTGTGGTTGTGATTTATCCTTTGTTCTGGAAGAGGACCCCGACATCAGGAACATGATGACATGACTTGCAATTGAATTAGATTTGAGTGAGGATGGGCTGTGCAAAGTCTCTAGCCACACTTTCTTCTGAAGAGCCATTTGGGTCCAGTGGCCAGAAATGGATCAGGATGACTGGAGATGGCCCAGGATGCAGTGGGAGACCTTGACCTTTTTAAGCTAACGTCTTTCTGAGTTCTCACACTGAGTGAGCAAGGTCCATTCAGTGAATAGGCCTGTTTAAGAGATGAATCAAGGGATGGCCCGTTTAATTAAAAATAAAATCAAGCTGGGAGGGGAAGACCCTCAGGGTTACTGACCAAAAGAGAAACAATTACTATTTACATTCACTCTGAGGTCAGGAGGGCCCCCCAAAAAAAACATTAAGTGGTGCTTGGGCAGGGACCTATAGTTGTCTAATCAATGACAGTCAGAGTGAATTGGGTTTATGGTGTGGTCTTCAAGAAGGAAATCTAGCCAGTAAACCCCAAGTAACTGAGTAAGTTTCAGTCATAGATACTCACTTTCCTTTGCGCAGAAAGAACACCCTCATGTAAGGGCATTATACTCCATGTGGGGGAGAAGAGAGGAGAGGAGAATATAGGACAAGCTAAGTTGCCCAACAGGAACTGACCAGCTTGGGCTACTCACAGGTTATAGTTTGTCCTTCATTCTTGAAGAGAACCATGGCATCAGGAAGATGATGACGTGACTTGAATTGAATTTGATTTGGGCGAGGGAAAGCTGTGCAAAATCACTAGCAACACTTTCTTTTGAAGAGTCATCTGGGTCCAGTAGCCAAATATGGATCATGATGACTGGAGATGGCCCAGCCGAATTAAGAGACAAGATACAGATGAACTAAGAATATTTAAGACAGAAAAGACTAAGGGAAGTCATGATGTCTGTTTTCAAATATATGAAGGGCCATTGTGTAGACTTGGGTATCTCTAGAACAGATTGCTAAGACCAGTGATGAAAGGAGCCTGTTTTTGACTTGTATAACAAAAAAGTAAAATTTATAGCAATGGAATGGTCTGTTTGTGAGATAGTTCCCTTCAGAAGAAGCTGTCTGACCATGTCTGGCCATGGGGGCGGAAACAATGGTTACATTGATTGCAAGGCTGGACTCCATGGTTTTTAATTCCAACATGGATATTTTGATTCTCTGTGTTAGTTTGTATTCTACTATTATAGGCTTCCATTAGAATAGATCATCAAAGTTGGCTTTGTTTTTAAGGTACATACAATGTAGAGCAGAAACTAGAAGTATTTTGTTTATTGAAGTTAGTTCAGCCCTCAAATCATAAGGAAATTTCTGCAAAGAGGAACAGAACAGGCTATTATCTAACTGGCCTTGGATTTTCCCCCCTTTTTCTCCTATGCTACTTTCCATTCATGATGTGAAATGTATTTGCTAGCATTCATACTGTTCATTCAGCTCCAGGATCAGTGGACTTAAGAATACAGAAATGATGAATACCCTCCCTGATGACCTGCTGCAGCTGCTCCTCCTCCTCCTCCTCCTCCTCCTCCTCCTCCTTCTTTGTTTCTGTCCAAACAACCAAACTGTAAGTTCATCCTGTAGGTCTCTTGGTCTCAGTGGTGGACTGTTTGTGGCATAAGTCAGATGATCCATATGTTGTTGGATTTCCTTGTGCCATGACCTGTCAAGATTTCTTCAAGGGATAGACTCTCTCCTTTCTATCTGCCATACCTGATATCCTGCAGAACTGTAAAGCTGTCTCTAAACGGCATATAATGTTCAATAACATTTTCTACCATCTAGCACCATGATCTAGTACTCTGACTGCATTTGGGCTATGGCTTGGCTAGTTAGAAGTCCTATTTAGCAAGTAACAGACTCCATTATTATATACATATTATACTGTGTATGATTTGTGGACAGAAAGTTAGTAGTGCACTGTATAATTATTTTCTAACGTGTATAATTCTTATTGGGGAGAGGGCCAATGTATATGTTACAAAAAACCCTAGTTGATATCTATAGGGAAGAATAAATTAGTAAATTAAATTTGTTAATACTTCAAATATAGAGGCAAATCATTAATTAAAACCTCATGACTTGCTGATGAGTGTTTGGCTGAAACCTAGAATGAAATTTGTGGAAGGTGAAAAATATTTTCATGAGTTTTTAATGAAGATGGATGAAAATAGACTATATGAAAATGGACAAATAGTTCCTATTACAATTATTATTAGTGATACTAATAGCTCCCATGTACCTAGTATCTTGTGGTTCATCCAGTACTTTACATGCTTTTTCTCCATTTTTACAATAGTCCAGTGAAATGGGCAGTTTATGTATGGTTATCTCCACCTCAAGGCTTGGGACACAGCTAATAAAGGACAGGGACTAGATCTAAATCCAGTTCTTTGGATGCCCAATCTAATAAAGCCATGGGTTTTGAAATTTCTCGTTGGTTTTCCTTTATATAGGACACATGTTGTGAGGGATTGTCTGGTGTTAGCTTCTGCCAAGTGCGGGTTGTGGCAACATGGGGCGGGAACTGGGTATTAGAAAGTAACCGGAGCTCATGCTCCCGAGGCAGGGGCTGTGCTATATGGAGCTGTGACAAGCTGGAGAAGAAACAAGGTACAAGGAAGTAGCTGGAGTACGTACTCCCGAGGCAGGGGCAGTGCTATGTGGAGCTGTGACAAGCTGGAGAAGAAACAAGGTACAAGGAAATAGCTGGAGTACGTACTCCTGAGGCAGGGGCTGTGCCACTTGGGAGTGGGACGGCAGAGAACAAGCTCTCTCTGTCTAGCCTCCTTCCTTAGGTACCACGCTAACCCCAGACGCCTCCTTCCTGTGACCAAACCTGACTTCCTGAGTCGCGTATGCTCCCTAGGTGTAGCACTGACCCCAGAAGCCTCCCTCCGGTATCTGGGCCCGACTTCCTGCGTCACATACATTCTCCTTTGTGTATGCACTGATCCCTCACGCCTCCTTCCAAATATCTAGGCCCCACTTCCTGTGCCATGTATGCTCCCTTTGTCTGGGCACTATGCTAGACATCCCCTTCTGATATTTGATCCTCGACGAGTCACTATGGGCGGGCTGAGGAGGAGGGACGAAGAAGGTACTAAAAAGAGCTGCAGGGAGGGGGGGCAGGGTCGGCTTTTGCTCCTGCTCGTGCGTGTGCCTTCCTGCCCGGCCTTGCTGTGATGATTATTGAATAAAGTTCAGGTTTTTGCACCTCCTGGTCGGCTCGTCTCTGGCAAATCCGGGTGGCCTCCGAGGACCGGTGAGTATGACCCTGGTTGCCTGATCTGGCTGAAAGAGAGTGCGCGGTTTGGACCGGCACAACATGTGTAGTGTTCCCCATCTGTTTTTGAGTCTATATAGAGTCTGTAAGATTGAGTCTATATATGTGAAGTCTTCCCATTGGTTCTCAAGCCACAACTTAGGTAGGTTCCAATTAATGCAAATAATGAATCTTATAAATTAGTCAGATTATCTGGATTTGCAGTACATGTTTGAATTGAGCTGGAACCAACTGCCATATATTACATAATTATAACTTCAAATAGTGTGAATACATGGGACAACTTCAGGGAATTCATTATTTATTCTAATAAAGACTTATCTGTATACCCATAGTTCTGACTAAAGAAACAATGGGGAGGCTCAAATGCCTGCCCTTCTCCCCACCTAAACAAATGTTCCTTTTCCTTTATGGCTATTAGTCATAAGGACTCTTCACAGCTTCATGGGAGAGTAGAGTAAGGGAATGGTGGAAGCAGTATATCTTCCAGAGTCACTAGGTAACTGAGCAGCAACTTCAAGATGGATAAGCCGAGGTGACCTTGTAAGTTTCAGGTCATGAGGTCCTAGAAGGCCATTAAAGCTGTGACTGTAATGACTATTGAAGTGGTCAGTTGTGGTGGCAGCAGCAGCAAGAGTGGGCTGGAA